TTTGCCGCTTTGAGCGTAACTAAACAAGAAGAAGAAGAGCCCGGTTTCACTCTCACCTGAGTTCTCCTCCACCTCCCTCTCATCAGTGCAGATCCCCTGGCCATGCATCAGTGAGTGCAGCGGCCTCTCCACGCCCCTCGGCGGGTAGCAGCGGAGGCCCGTGCCACATCGGGGTGAGTAAACGCCACAGTGGGCTCCTTTAGGCAGGGCACAGGTGGGGCAGCAGCCGCAGCCGGGCTCCCGCACCGTTTCCTCGCCGCCTTCAGGCAGACGGCAGCTGGCCAGGCGCTCCTCTGAGCAAACGGGGCAGCGAATGGCCTGGTCTGACAAGCACAGTGCCGCCAACGACAGGGCGCCAAACACCCACAGGCCCCAGCAGGACGGAGCTACTGCCACGCCACCTCCACGCACCATGGCAGTCCCGGCACCTGCACGCAATCCTTTGCCCTTGTGTATGGTCACTTTGGCCGCCTCCTCTTCTGAATGTGGTGCAGCTTATAATCACTTTGAGAAGAGGTTTGAGAGGAACACTTTGTCCTGGAAGGTCTTTGATATTTTCAGCTGGTTAGTGTTTCAAATGCAGGCACACAATGCCTCTGCTGTACTGCTTCTCCGTTGTTCTGATTCAATTTCACACCGCAGAAATTGGAGCCTGCTCTTGATGCGCTCAGCTCGTGGGTGATGAGAACAAGTTTTGGGGTTTTTGGGGGGGTTTCTTTTTTGTTAAGGTGGAACGAGCGGGAAGGATATCCGCCGGCACGTTCAGGTGAGGCTTGCTCTTCGAGTCCGAGTCCCGATGCTCGCCCGCGCTCTGCCGAAACACCAAAAAATCTGGTCTACAAGTGTCCAAATGCAAAGCCAGTCAGCGAAAGGCCGTGTTTTTGGTAACAGCTGCAGTTTCCTCCTCTTGCTGGTGTGCAGTGCAAAGGACTCGCTCCTGAGAATGGCTCAACACGAGTGGCTCTCCTTGGACTTTATACTGGCCCATGGACACGCCTCTTTCTACAGTGAGAGAGGAGCTGAAAGGCAGAGCAGAGAAAAGCCAGACTAAAGCTCTCTCCCTCTGTCTCCCTCTCGCACTCAGGCACACAAACTTATATACACTCTCCCTCATTTACTTGTCCTCTCTCAATCCTGAGTGCCCTGAGAGGAGAGGGAAAAAAGAGCCCAATCGCCTTTTCACTTGTTCACACAGAGAATATCACTCTGTTCTCTCTCCCTGCAGCCCACCCTTATCTCAGCCACTCTCAAATATTGATTTTTTTTTTCCCTTTTTTTTAAAAGATAAAACCATTTACGTCCAGGAAAAAAGAAGCAACGTGTCAATGCTGCTCTGCTTTAATCAACCCCAAATGCACAGCAGAAAACAACCTCTGCAGCCTCAACAGGGTCTCGCCGTGTGTTTGTGCCTGCATCCAGTGGTCAGTCCAGGCTGTGCCGTCAACCCCCCCGCCCACCCACCCACCTCCTCATTATCTCTGCTCCTAGATCTCTCTCTCTCCCTTTTTCCTAACTAGAGTGGGCAGCTATAAAAAGGCAAATGGACAGTCAAACACAGACCCCCCCTGCCCATTCCCAGCTGCTGCCCTCCCCCCACCAATCCTAAAAACGCCTCCCACCAGTGGGATCGCACGATATGTTCTACCAATGCTGCAGTTTATTGCACACGTGTGTGTTTCTGATCAGACTCTGTAAATCAGCGTGCTCCTTGCGTCTTGTTTGCCTGTGCATGTGTGCCCTCCGCCCAGCCCAAAAGGTTTTCAATCATGGCTTTTATTGCTTTTCTTTTTTCTCCCCCTGTGTTTCTTTGCCTCCATTTTGCCATGGAAACCCAGCATGCATTGTAACGCCTTTGTGAGTGTGCGTTCTTTCAGCTTTTTTCTACACGCTGGTGGCTGGTTGCCACCGGCAGGCCGTGGGCAGCAGCCAAGCCTCTCAAGGCCGTGCACCGCTCAGGTGGGTGCTGCAGCGAGCGTTGTTAGTTACGAGACATCGGTGGTACTGATCTGAAACGTCCACAAAGCACTTTAAACACACTCCAATACAAGTCTGCTTTAGGGCTCCGTGGTAAGGTTAGAAATTTTTACTGAGCCTCGATTTAAAAGACGAGCCACCTGCTTACTTTTATGTTCTTTTTTTACAGAGACGGAAAAATCAAGCTGCAGTTTCTGGAATTGCTCAACAGTCTCTGAACTCACAGCAAGAATAGCAACGTTATTATGTGTCAGTTATGAGGTGTTTGACTGTGTTTGTGTTTTGGGGGGTGCAGGGTGGTTAGTCAAAGGTTAAATGTGGTTATTGACGCAATTTTGTAGATGCTGGCTGAGCTAATGAGTTGTGTGTGAGCTGTGTTTTTGTTGTAACTTGAAAAGCAGTGCAACAGACCGGCAGACAAGCGGAACATGTAAATTCTTCTTCCGGTATTTTAGGCTCGTTTTAAACAAATATTATTTTGCCAGAGATGACAGGAAAAGGAGGGCAGACGTAGACGGGAAACGATGGATGGGAATCTTTCAACAGTGTGAAACAAAACAACCTGAAAGAAACGGTGCAGACAAAAGCAGAAGAACAACAAAGCCGCCTCCCCCCAACAAAAAAGTTAAAGTTTATATCCTCGCGGAAATCACATTTTTTTATCTTGCTGTTCATTCTAACAATAAGCTGTGATCTGTTGAAGTTCACAAATGAAAAGCACATAAACAGCTTCTAATAGATGTCATAAGATTTCCCCCAAAAAAAGCAGAATCTTTGCCACCTGGAATATTTTCAATATCAAAAAGAGACCACGTGCAATACTCAAATTCCAAAAGTATTGGCTATAAAAGCTGAAAGGTATAGATTTAATTACGAAATGGAACAACCTGGCAGATCTTCACAACTTTAAAGCCACATAAGGAGAAATAAAAGGAGAAAACTGACCTTTCCTTTATTATGTGCTTTCAGTGAAAGAAATAAGGATATATGGTATTTCTGTTTGTCTGGTGCTAATATGAAGCTTAAACAGTCAAAGTTGATTCAGTGAAGTGAATATTTACTGCACAAAGGTGCAGGATGAAACCAATAAGCTGTCTTATTAAAGGAGAATGAGAGAAAGGAGCTGAAAACGAGCAGAACTGGAAGGAGAACTGTGCGTTTTCTCTCACCTACATTAAACTGCTTTAGGTTTGAGTCATGTCCACAAGTTTTACAAAGAGGAGGGACGACCACAGGAAGCTAAAAGCTGTTTAAATGTTGATTTGAAGCATACTGTCTTTGCCAGCAGAGCTCTTTGCAATCAAATATTTAAACCTGTGAGTGTAGAAGTCCTTAGCCCGACCCTGTGCTTTTAGGATATGTGATCTAAGAGAAATCAGAAACAGTTGTTCCTCACTAAAATGAGAAAGATGTTTTTCTCTCTCCAGAACACTGAGGCTGTGATAGGTCCTGTGATTTTGAAGCACACTGTGGAAAAACTGTGTGGAGACCCTTCGTTATGCACAGATAATAGTAAAACGTACAATTGTGGCACATCTGACGCATTAAAAGCATCATATTTAAATAAATAAGAAGTATATAAATAAAGTGAGGAGCATACATCAGCAATTTTAGAAGCAGTGAAAGACAAACATTTTCATCAGTGACCCTCTTTCTGCCTCAGTTTTCAGACTACGTTCGGATCTTTAAAGGCACTACATGCTGGTACGTCCTCCCGTCACTGAAAACCAGCTTTGCTCATATGGTCGCTCCAACCTCCTTCATTACTGCGTGTTACTAATTAGGCGTCTGTGGAGTTAGATAGTGGATAATCTTTTGTAACAGACCCGCCTTAGGGATGAACATAAAACATTCAAATGTCACAAGACTTAAAAGTTTTGATTATATTAAATAGTTTTTGGCAGTTTTTAAAGTGTTTCAGCTGAATTATTTGTTCCCCCCTTAAAATTTCACCTCACACTTGAAATTTTGTAAATTTTAAAGGTGAAACCAAAAACTAAATCTGATACAAATATCTGAGGGTCACTTCATGCTCCTGTACCACAAGACCTTTGTTACCTGTGGTAACTCCACAGGTTGTGGTCAAAGCTGGATCCGGTGAAAATGTTGACGTAACACTGAAAATACGTCAGTATCCCCCCCGCCTCTCTTACACATAAACACACACGCACGCGCTTTTGTCCCCCATGTTTTTGTCTCCGTTTGCGTCACTCGTCCCCTTTAAAGAAAAACCTAAGTATGACTCGAACGGCGGTTTTAGAGAACTGCTGCTCATTCAAGCAACAAGTGCATTCAAACTAAACATGCACCTGGAGATCTGCTGCGCATGTGTTCAGGGATTTTTTAACTTGTTTTTATCAGCAGCAGAGAGCATGAGCTTTTATTTGCCTTTATTTACACGCGTTAGAGTCGCTTGTTTTTCCCGTGAGGGGGATGGTAGATGATTTAGCAACTATAGGCATAAAAATCACACAAATATAACTTCACTCACTGTAAACAAGTGAATGCTGTGCTCAGATCATATGCTGTATCATAAAATAGGTACTGATTTCAGTGATACTGCATATGCACTTTTAAGACTGCTTAAACTCTCCTATAATAACAAGCCCGACTGTTAAAGCTCATCTGTAGACAATATTGGGATACAAGTATTTAAAAGCTTTTTTCCTAATTCTCTTCCAACTCTGCGTCAGAGATGGGAATAAAGAGAGGGACACTCAGCAGCTGCAGCATACAGATGCAGAGCCATGATGTAAGATTTTCCACAGCCAGTGTCTGACTTCTGCAGGTACGGACCATAAAGGGCAGATATCAGCTGTTTATTCACCTGAAATGAGGGGAATTCTTAAAAGAAAGAAAATGTAAATGAAGTTTCAGCTTCAGACGAGTTGGACTTTGAAGTAGCTTTCACATCTGGCCACAAGATGGAGTTAGATCTCCTTAAAAGCCAAGTCTGGAGCCATGTGGACGCCCTGAAGTAACATCAAACCCCGAATCGGTTCTTTGTTTCGCTCATAAATGTTGTTGGCTGTGCGTGTTTAGGTTCAGAGAAGGAATGTTTGAAGATTTAAACATCATCAGACTTGTTCTGAGTCTCGCCGTCGGTGCTGCTCTGCTGGATTCACACGCTCTGGTCTTTGTTGCTCCACCTTACTGAAAATGCGTTCCTGTTCCTTTAAGGAATTCACGGCTGTGACGTTGCTTATATTCCATATTCAGAGAAAGTCCAGCGGCGGAGTGTGGAATCTCCTCCTGTGAGTGCACTTCTCCTCTGTGGTGCTGAGCAAGAAGCAGGTAAGATCTTATTCTCATCATTACTCCTCAGACTTACTGTTAACTTCCAGCAAAAAACAAAACCAAAGACGTCTCCTGGAATTAACAGCAGCAATGTAGACATGTGCTTCTCAATTTCATTTTGACCATGTGAGAAAGTTTCCTATTGATGTATTTTAACGCAAGAGCTTCAGTTAATCATGAAAACCCTATCAACGGTGTGGTGTTTTATTATTTATTAGAGCTGATGCGAATAAATAGTTGAAACAATATAAAATATAATGAAATACTTTGTTAACTCGGTGGAAACTGACAGGGGGCTTCTTTAAAAAGTGCACGTCTGGATTTTTCTCAAATAATTTTGAAACTGTGCTGGAGTGTCTGTGTGTGCTCTTTTACGCCTGCTCCTGTGTACAAACCCAGCAGGAAATACATGAGCAGTGAACATCATCTCTTTCTCATAAGGCTAAATGTAGAGACAGGGTCGAGCAATCAACCGTGGGCTTTTTTACCCACTCTTCTTTTTTTACACTGTCCAACCAACAGGAACAAAGAGATGCAAGTCTTGCTTCTATTTCTTCACAGGCCTTGTAGAAATAGTAAAGGGGAGGTTGGGGGGGCTCTTTTATTAGCATCGAGAGCATCTGAAAAAGTTAAAATTGTCTCACAAACGGTCAGATAAAATGTGACACAATGAATGTAAGAAACAAACCCGCCTTTTCTCTATCTTTATTGGCAGACCTGGTTTTAAAGCGCCAAAGGGGAGAATCTGGTTAGACTCTCATTAACCGAATACTGTAAATCCCCCCCCCTCACAGAACGTTTTCCTTCATCATGAGCACAGAAAAGCATCCTGAATTCACATCCTCAGAGGCAGACGGGATGGGTGAGTATAGGCATTCCTTGTCTTTAATGTGAAACTTTCGATGATGAGGATGCACGCATTCCTCCACAGCGGCCACCATCCTGGCTGAAGTCGTGCCTAAAAACTCCACCACGTACGTGGAGGGATTTGTGCACGCTGCAGCTGAAAGCAGGTCATAGTGTCGGGGTCATGAGCAAGACTTCCTGCATATTTACTGTTAATCTGGAGTTTTAATGTTCATTTGTTGCTACGGAAAACACTTTTTTAATTAAGAAGAAAAGCGTCGCTCAGTTTTAACACATCCACTCAACATGTTACTTTCTCAGATGTTGCAGATGTGAAGTCGCAGGAGGAGGAAGAAGAGAAGGAGGACAGCTCATTTAGTGAAAATGGAATTCAGTCCGCTGAAGGTGTCGCAGATCCACGTATGTGTACCCACACACACACTCACACTCTCAAACACACACAAATATATATATATATATATGTATATATGTGTGTGTGTGTGGCATTGGTGCTACAGCTGTTCTTTACATGTCTTTTGTTGGGTTTTTTGCCTGTTTCAGGAAAAAAATTGAGGAATGGTGCTACAATACTTTCATACAATGAAATAGATTATACTGGTTGAGGACAGGAAATACAGGAAACCATTTAGAGTGGCAGAAAAAGTAGAGGAGGGGGATTAAAATGTGAAAGGTCACCTGTAACCAGAGCATTTGGCCAAATCGAGCCAAATCCGGCCCTTTGCAAATCTTAATCAGGCCGTATCTTATTTTATGTTCCTGATCATTTTTTATCCACCTATTTGTAGCTGTGGCCATGCACCTCCACTGCACCTGCGAGCTAACAGGCTAGCTATCGCCGAAAGCAACAAACGGCATAATTTGCAGCTTAATTTTGTCGTTTGAATCAGCAAACCAGCAGGCATTTGGAGTGAAAGACAGGGAACTGCTGCTTCGCTGAGCTCACAAGAGGAGCGCAGCTGCAAGCGCAAAATGTTTTATCAAACCCGCTCGTAAAATGATGGAAACGTGAAGACGAGTTTCATTTTTATGCGCAGCCAGTTTCGTGGCAGGTGACTGGAATGTGTGTAACAGGTGAAACAGCAAAGATCTTTAACTGTGTTTTAAATGAAACTTCCCACGCGACCTTTCAGTTGTGACGCTCGTCTCTGCAAAAACTTGCACAAAAAAAGCAGATTTGTTATTTTGCTTTTACATCAGAGGTTTCTGGGTTTAATTAGCTAGTGTTCGTGCCGGTAGCTGTCAAATTTATGCATAAATGCTTATCTGAATACTATAAAGCCAAATAAATATTGTTGTGTACTAGCTGAGGGCTTTCTGTGGACCAAATCATTGTGAGAAGAGCTTGGCAACAAGCTGTGTCTGGTATTTGCATGTCTCTCATTTTCCAGGGTTTGACATGAACTACATCAAGGTTGCACGTGACGAAGAGGTGCTTGATTGATTTGATAGGTCATCTAGCTGATTAAAGTTTCATTGACCGCGTGCCAATATAGAAAGTAAGAGAGCGGGGCCTGCAAATATGCATTCATACTGTATCTGATCAGTGGATGGTGGTTTATGTTCGGAAACGTTGTTTTTCACCAGTTAGTGAGGTGACATTTCTTGACACCAATGGTATATGGGTGCATGATGCCTCAGTGGTTAGCACCATCACCTCACAAGAACAGTGGGTTCAGACTTGTGAGGCTGTAGCTATGTGGAGTTTGCGTGTTCTCCCAGAGCTCCGGTCAATAAATGAGTGTTGATGAGTGTCCGAAGTCTTTCTGTTCCTATTGGGCAGCAGTTAATATGACACCAACCAGAGAAGTAATTGGATGAAATGGAAACATCCATCCTGGATTCTTCCTAAAATGCAGTCAGAATGCAGAAAAGGAGAGAAAGAGATGATGAAACCTTCGAGCAAAAGCTCAATCTGCCTGTGGTGTGGATGGTTCAGACAGCCCAGTATGACAGGAGCCCTCCAGAGACCCTTCCTGTTATAGCTGACCCAAAGCTTGGCCTGGCTCATCAGACCTGTTCTTACGAGACTACTGGGTCTGTTTTTATTGGGCAGGTTTAGACCCCAAACAAAGCAGTGATGCAAGAAGTAAAAACAGATTCAGCAGAACGCCTGTGAAAGAGAGGCATCGAGCCTTTGCTTTGTCTATTTAGCTGTAACATCAAAACAACATTCACTGCAAAGTCGGTTATATAGACCAACACCTCAGCGTGTTAGACATGGTAGGACTTATTAGTCTGCGATAATGTCTACAACATATATGATGAAACTGCACAGAAACGTCCCTGGGTCCGAGTCCTGTTCCTGCTGCATCACAGTGTTACAGGAAAACTTGAGGGCTGCACCAAAAACCAAAGGTTTGCACTCTGAGTCTGGAAGTAGATGAAGTCATTTCACAGAAGCCTAAATCTGTCCTCATCTCCAGCATTTGGTGTCATTAAACTCAGTCTGAGACGTCTAAAATCAGACCTTTTTAACTCCTTGTACATGGTGAACATTGGTCACAGGAACACTGATGAGAACCAGCAGGGACTCTGTCTCCATTTTCTCAGCCAGTGTCGTGTCCACACTCTGCAGTCTTCTCTCTTTCTTTTTTCTGGTCACAGCAGAGTGACCAGAAAAGCTCCTTCTGTTTCTGCATCATTACTCAAACCTTGTTCTTCTTGTAAATTTCTACTAGGAGCCCGATGACAGATAATACAGAATTAAATTTAGTTTTAATCTTTCATGTAGAGACCCTTTGATTAAAACTGACTGAACACACACTGTATGTAGGTACGAGAGGCTGTCTCCAGCGTGTGGTAGACATGGTCTGGTTTTAGTTCTCACTGCACGTTCGTGCTTCTGTGATAAAAGCTGCATTTTAAAAGCTCTCTTCTTGTCATCAAGCGGGCAGAAACTGTGACAACTCTGTTTCACACGATATTTTTAATGTTGAATTGTTTTGACTTTGTCATTCAGCCCTAAAAAAAAAAAAGAACATGGTGTTACAGACAGCTCTCCTCTTTATTTCTGACTGCCACCCATCTATCTACCCCACTGGGTGCACTTCCTAAAGCCCTGCTCTGCGTCTAATGCGCAGCCTGCGGTTCACTGCTTTGAGACACTGGACTCTATATCGGGCCTCTCGGAGCTCTGTGTGTGCAAAGTTTCCATAGCACCTCTGAGCGCTTTCCACAATACAAGGCGCTGCTCTTCAGCTCATCATCAGTCACCGCCAAGACCACAGTGTGGTTTTTGGATGGAACTGAATAAGCTGGGGGGCTGGTTAACGCTTGCAAGAGGCTAGGTGAGAGGTCCTGTACATTGGGCCTTAGGACTCTGCGTGTAGGCAGATGTGGTGTTAATAAATGAAATTGCTAAATCCTGCATGGAGAAGTAGTTTGAGCTGAGCGTGTGGTTGAGAAACCAGAAAAAAAAAACCCAAAAGCGGGAAAATCTTGCTTGTATAGGTGATGTAATTGATGCTCGGCTGGCTGAGGGGACACCGAGAGGACTTTAGGTGCACTTTAACACCTTTTAACCCTTAAATTTGGATGCTTTTAAGCCTTTGTGACCAACGTGATGAACAGTCAGTCTGAAATGACTCTTCAAAGGCAGATGAGGAATTAGTGTTGTCTGTCTGAGGCGCCGGCTCACTCACCCTCTCTCTCTCCTGCCCTGGTTCTAGCCGCTGTGTAGAGGAAATGCCTTTGCCTTATCTCAAGCACACATCTTCTGAATCTCTCTGTGACACTATGCATCGGCCCAAATTAGGCTACCCACACTTTGGAGATGTGCTAGTACTAATATCTTGCTATCGACCTTAAATACAAATGTGGAAGTAAAGACGTGACTGTGTTCCACATTCTGCTCACAGCTTATCTAGCTCCTTTGTTGGAAAATGCTCTACACATTCCTGTGAAATGTCTCTCCAAATGCATATTTTGGTTGTCCCCTCCTTCCACTTTGCTCAGGTGTGATAAAGTCCGAGGCTGAGGAGATGGAAGATAACGAGCAGCTTCTCAAGGCTGAAAAAGACCAAGAGATTGTGCCTAAAGAGGAAGCAGAGGGAGGCAGTGAGGACGGGATGGAGGAAGGTTTTGATGGGGAGAGGACAGAGGAAGAGAATGATGAGGAGAGGGACATGGAAGGGGATGAAGAGGGAGATGGCCTGAGTGAGCCGCAGGACCTGTCGCTGGTGGACTACTCGCGTTACAACAGCGCGGCCCTCCCCGACGCCAGCGCAGCGGCGTCTGCCGCCAACGCGGAAGGCGCTTACGCACCTGGAGCCGGGCCGCCTCGCATCCAACCGACAGGCAAGCTCAGCTGTGACATCTGCGGCTTGTCCTGCATCAGCATTAACGTACTGCTGGTGCACAAGCGCAGCCACACGGGTAAGCAGAGGGACGCTGACCTCAAAGATCGCAGTTGTGCAATCGCTGCGCTGTTGATGGCCCTGAGGTCTCCTTTTATTGACTCTGTCAAAGCGATTAGGAACACACAATCGTGTGCTAACTGACAGATTGTGAAATAGCCTCTATTGTTGTTCATATATTCCACGCATGCACTAACTGTGTGATTTGATCGCAGCAGCAGATAGGTCAGCACATCAGACTGCAGCTGCAGTTATCGTTCTGCCCTAAAATCCTGAAATGAATGACAGATTTTCTGAAGTGATGACCTAACCAGCGTGCTCAGAGCCGAGTTATAGTATGGAAAATAATACTCATCCCACTCATGGGATTACTCTGTCAGCTTATCCATAGAACTGATATATCGAGTTATCGGCGGCGCACAAAAAATATCAAAAACGTGAAAGAAGGTCAGAAATTCTCATGTTGCTACATTTTAAATGTCTTCAAAATGAGTCACGAAGATTATTTTTGTCCCGTCTTCCATCAGTCTGACTAACAAAGCAGAGTTTAGCTTTAAGTCATCACAGACAATTATTATAATCCTGTGCTGTGAGATTATGTGATTTTAGGCTTCTGAAACTCTCAAATCTTAGTCAGAAGAATATTCTAGCAAAAAAAAATAGTGTTGGGTTTACGGTTATGATGGAGTAGATAGGGTACTTAAACATGAAAGCAAGCTATACTTATTTATATGGCACTTTTTACCCACAGATAAAAGAAGATAGATTAAGAACACACACAACTGCCCCAATAAAACAGAGTCTAGAGCAGTACATGGATTCAAAGGCGCAAATGTCCTTAGCTGGGGCAAGCACGTTACTTAAATGCTCAAGTGACTTTAGCTGACTTTTAAAAGAGATGACAGAATCGGAAAACCTCAGAGGTGAAGCAGAGCGTTCCACAGGTCGCCTGCTGTGGCCTCGAAAAGCTCGATCACCTCGTGTCCTTGGGCGGGGGCGTGGAACAAACTGTAATTTCAAGTTGTTGTTAGATCTCAGTGGGCGAGCTGAGGAGAGAAATTGAGGAAAATCCGCTAGACGCGAGGAAATCTGATGGTTAAGAAGTGAAGACGCTGAGGCGACCATACTCCCTGTAACAACCATGATCCACCGTCTGATGCAGTACTCGCTTACTTGAAAGGCTCGTGTGTCTCTGTGACATTTAATCGCGACTTTTGTTGTAAAACATACAAACATTAGAGCTGCATTTCACTGAGTAGAGCCGAGCAGTGCTAGTCTTCATTTGGCACCCGTGAGGCTTTGTTTCTGACATGGGAAGTCATGCACAATCTGCTTGGCAATTGTGCGGTCTGAGTTGTCCGTGAGAACAGTCTTTTCTAGGTTTGGACGTTACTTTCTTCCCCTTTTAAAGATGGTGAATGATTCTGTGTTTTTTTGCAATTCATCGTAGGAACAAGAAAACAACTAAAGTCAAAAAAAATGGAAGCCAACAAATATCTGAGCTATTGCAAAATTTCCACCCAACAAGAACATAAGAATACCACAGTGGGGTTTTTTATTTTGCTTACAGGAGCCTCGCGGCAGGTGGTCGAAATCAGAATAAGTTGTGTGATTAAAGAAGCCGGTGTCGTGTGAGAATGTGCAGGATTGTTTCAAACGCTGTGTTTTTTCAGGCGAGAGGCCATTCCACTGCACTCAGTGTGGGGCCTCCTTCACCCAGAAGGGAAACCTGCTTCGCCACATCAAACTGCACTCCGGGGAGAAGCCTTTCAAATGCCCGATGTGCAGCTACGCCTGCCGGCGACGTGACGCTCTGAGCGGGCACCTGCGCACCCACTCTGGTATCAGGCAGCCACACACACACACACACGCACTCACACTGATAAGCTCTGATACTGTATGCACCTGCGTACAGTACCATGCTGGTTGGTTTCTTACTCCTTTTGAATCTGAGGTCTGCTGAGGCTACATGGCTTTTCCAGTAACACCTTGCCATGCATTCTCATATGGTTACACACATCACATATGATTAGCTTACTCATTCACCTCTGGAAACTTACTCATTCACTTTCAGTTCACGTGTTTCTCCTGCACGGCCTCCAATATGCACACCATCATCAGTTTTGTACGAAACCGCGTACTTAACGAAGTAATGCTTGCTTCATGCCGTTGATGTGTTTGAGTGTTTAACTGAAACCTCTGCCTCGCAGTAGAGAAGCCCTTCAAGTGCAACCATTGCAGTCGCAGCTACAAGCAGCGCAGCTCGCTGGAGGAGCACCGAGAGAGGTGCCATGTGTACATTCAGAGCAAAGGTCCCGCCGAGAGAGGTGAGCAGCGGTGCGCACACACTGTCTCACCACCACGCTTGTAAGAAGACTCCAACATGTCTCCGAGGGACACTCGGTTCACACATGCACATATAGGTGTTAAAGTTATGAAGAACGCATGCATTTCTGCAGCTCGTGCAGAAATGCACACGCTCGTGCAGGTGCACACTTAACAGATCCTGTTTTTATAGCCCCATTAAAAATAACAAGCTTATGGCTACTACCCCGCACTTACAGCTAAACGGGTTATGGCTGCTGTGGCGTACAGGCTCAGCGTGCAGAAGACCGCTTCTCATCTCTCTGCCATCAAAGGGGAAGCTAAATAATGTAGGGCAAATGCTTCAGCCCAGCCACCCGACACAAGCAGGAACACAAACGCACACCACCTTACCTCCCCCTTCCCTCCAAATAAAAAAACAGAAAAGCCTTTATGTACTCAGAGGACAACAGCATGGTTGCAACACACAGACAATGCTCTGTTTCTGTGGTCACCAAATGTCGTAAGTTTATGCCTGATAGTGCCGTAGTGGTGAGGAAGTACATCCTCATCCTGTGGTCTCCTCTCCTGTGCTGGTGAAGTAAAAAAGCAACCAGGAAGTGAGGTCAAAGGAGCGTCTGCTCTCAAATTAATATCTCGTTCCTCCCGGTGTAACTGCGCTTCTGCGCAGCTGCTGTGTTTTTTGAGTTTCTTCCTTTTTTTAAAAAAAACTCTGTGACTTCAAAGGCTGATGGACAGCTGTGCACTCATGACACTGCCTGATCAAAAAGAGAGTCTTCATTTCCTTATCTCTCTCTCTTTCTCTCTCTGTGCTCTTCTGCTGCCAAGCAGAGGACAGTCACACATCCAGGACTCAGATGGGTACTGAGCGTGCGCTGCTGCTCGACAGGCTCGCCAGCAACGTAGCCAAGCGGAAGAGTTCAATGCCACAGAAGTTTACAGGTAAGGGTATAAACACCTCAGGCCGATGAAAGCGCTCAGATTTCTCTTTAAAAATGTGCTTTTATATCTTTAAGGAATATTTAGTGGCTCCAGCTTTTATACGTATCGTTTGTCATTTTGCCTTTTGCTGCGCTTTTATGCTGCACAATGCAGAATTTGAAGTTGTCTGTCTGAGCTACTTGTTTGTCTGTCTGTCTATGCTGGCCTTCATCTGTCGCCAAAGGGGGTTTCAGGGCAGACCACCTGCCTCATACCTGCACACACCACAGAGTGGTCCCCACTGCTCCAAATTCTCTGCAGGAATTGTGTCATCGGTGGGTATTGGTAATTATTGCACGGTTAATAAAATAGTGTCATGCACATGAAACCTCTGAGTTCCATTACTAACCGCTTGTGTTTTGATTCGATCTGAGATAATTTGAGCTGGTAATTATCAGAAGTATCAGTTTCGGTAAATGGCTGACTTGCCACAGTGATTTCCCAAACTTTATGGGCGTATATATACACACACATGCACAATGATTTTCAATAGCTTGCTCTCACCTTTCTGGTTAAGACTAACACTGAGTTGTAGTTTTGCAATCGAGCTTCGAGCTGCTCGCAAAAAGCATGAGTGTTTTGGCAATTAAAAAAAAAAACCCTCCTACATCTCCATCAGGTTTACAAATGAAGTGAGATCTTTCAATATGACAACCACAGGAGGAAAAAGAGAAGTAACCACAGAGAGCAAACAAGGCGCGAGGCGAGAAACGTGAGCAGGTGTCTCTCTGTCATTACACCAGCTGCACTACAGAGGCCTTCATCTGCGTCGTATGCTTCCTCCCTGTCCCTAACTGCTGCCTCGGGATGCTGCCAGGCTTTAAAGCTGCTTTAGTCCCGTCGACCTGGCGCTTTCCAGGTTTTTGCTTTTTCCCGCCCTCGGGGGGCACGTTTTGCACTCGACTGCACGGCGGAGTGAGAAACCCAGCAAGGGTCTAAATCTTTTCCATCTGTTTTAACTGCTTCTTGCTTCCTGTGTTGTTTCTCTGCCCGTGCTGCTGGATGAGGTTTGCAAAGTCTCCTCGTGCTGAGCTCTTTCTTGTCGTCTAGGCGACAACGGCGTGTGCCTGGACCTGAGCTTTAACAGGGATCTGGTCCACCGAACTGATGTCAAGGATCCTCCGTCGGACTCCCCGGGGCCAGACGCCCATCACCAGCAACAACCGATCCACCCAGGCCCCAATGGTGACCAACCGCCTTCCCACAGGCCCTACCCCATCTCGTTAGCCCGTGGCGACATCACTCCCATGGGCCTCACCAATGGCCACAAGATGGCCATGCCGCTCCTGGGAATCCCTCACGCCTCCCAGCCTCCCCTTGGCATGGACTCTTACCACAATGACAACACCCAGATATCCCAGCCTGTCATGTACAGCTTAGGCCACCTGCTTGGGGGGCTGAATTCCCAGAACGGCATGCCTCACCCACACGCCCAGCCCATCCCCCTGTCGCCTCTTGAGGCTTTGCGAGTGATGCGAGCTGACGGGGAGACCGTGCCCGGGGCCGTGTACCCCTGTGGCCACTGCAGGGTGATCTTCCTGGACTATGTCATGTTCACCATCCACATGGGGTGCCACGGCTTCCGCGATCCGCTCGAGTGTAACGTGTGTGGCCACCGCAGTCGGGACCGTTACGAGTTTTCTTCCCACATAGCCCGTGGCGAGCACCGCCTAGAGTTGAAGTAGACTGCAGGCACAACACCAGCACTGCATGAGAAAAACAGCAGATTAACTCATATAAGTAGTGTCAGAAATGAATTCATGAAGTAGCTATCACTTTCTGCCTGTGTGTGTGTGTGTGTGTGTGTGTGTGTGTGTGTGTGTGTGTGTGTGTGTGTGTGTGGGTGTGTGTGTGTGGGTGTGCGTGTTGGAGAGGGAGACGTTATACGAGTGTAACGGGTTTCAGGGTGTTTTTAGTCATACTGTAGTCATCTGAAAAGATGGCCTGTAAAATGTTAATGCAGGAGCACTTCTACCTCCTTTTTCATGCATATATTTGTACTTAATGGTCCCTGCTGTAGCCGCTGTGTATATCCTAATCCTCAGTTCCATATGTTAATTCAAATGTTCCAAAAATATGAGCACTTATTACATTTATTGTGTAAATGCTTTTGTTTTTTATCAGTGTAAAGATGTAAGTAATAAAAGACAGCTCTTCCTTCGTCACACACAAGCTGCACCACGCCGAAAGACTTTTAGCTTCTCTGACAAACACTTGGCAATTCAAGACTGCAGAAAAAAAAAATCCTATTATCTCGAAGGTCACATGTCTCTTTTTTTCTCAGCTGTGGTTTTCTGAGTGTAGTTCACGGCTTCAAAGGACACATCACTCTGCTTCTCACTCCAGATATTGTACTCATTTAGCGCTCCCCACAAGTTGCTTCACAGTTTTTCACAAGACTTTTAGTCACACAAAACACACAGTGTTCAATTACATTTCTCACTTCTGTTTGATTTATACAGCACCGGTTCCCTTCACACTGTGCAGAAAAGGCCGTACAGTGAGACAGAGGTTCCATCATTACATTTAACCCTTGAAAGTACAAAACTGCACTACATGTATGGAGGACAGAGGTAAAGGAGATCGAACAAGGTGGATAAAAATTCAGTATAAAGTCAAGCTAAAGGCCTCAAAATGCGTATGGCAGCAGATGAAATCTTCTAGGTTCCATTAAATCAGGAGGGAAAAAGAGACTGATCACTTTGTTCCATGCAGTACGTGTTGACAGATTCTGAAAATGATGAAATGTATGGCTGGCTGAAGCTGCCAAAGTTAAAATAAATACATATGTAAGTAAATGGCTCAATTAATGTGGTGAATGTGTTGAAAATAAATGTAGGCCTTTCTTATTTTGGGGACTGCACAACACAACCCAATATTTCTATTTTAATTTGCTTCTGAATGGTTTTTTTAATATAATTTCTAAAAGTATTTCTGTATATTTTCTTTCGCCTTCCTGTTTATGTCCTCATTTATTTCTATATTTTCTTTCACGATGGATGCCAGAGCTACACCAGAGTCTGCAGTTAGGAACAGCTAGAGAACTGACGGTCTGAGCTAATCCAGCTCCTTGTATTGTTTAGGATCATTTGGGAAGTAAACCCTTTGCTCATTTCACTAAATGTATTAAAGAGATTCTGGTGCATTGATGCAGAATCAGCCACGATCAAAACATAGCGTAAAGAAGCAAACATGACATCAGGACTTTTAAGCAAATGTAGATGTTCGCTTAAAAAAAAACACCTACAAATGCATCAAAGCCGCCCTTTTGCTCGTCTCCTCTAACTGAAGTTTTCACACTGTTTGTAATTATTTTGTTAATTATCTTTGATTTTGGCAGTTTTGGCCCTCCATCCATGGATGTAGGGGAGATGGTGGTGTTTGTAACGGGATCATCGCAGGATTTAATCTGACTCCATCTTGAGAAAATACAAAAACGAGTCACATGTCTCTTCACATATATGTCGTCTATGTGGCGAATGTGTCATACGTGGTCTTCTGTGCGTGTAGCTTCTATGTGAAAGTGGTTTTGTTGGACAGAGGGTGAAGGGGATTTCAAGCAAAGTGAACAATAGTTTAATTTTACATTTTTTGGGCCAGAAAAGAATGAGAGAATATGCAAATTTAAAAAAAAATCCCACTTCCCACTTATATTTCACTTCACCCACAGCAAGGAGAGAAATCAATTACGTGTGCCAGTAAAGCTCCCTGATATGGGATCTCAAAGGTGCAACAAATGTATGTGAAATTTGTGGGAATTTCTTTGTGACAAACTTCAGGAGCCTCCTCTGACAGCTAAATCTGTCTTTCCTGTTTGTATTGGGGAAGTTTTGGTGAGCACACAAAATGAGTTCTGACTAGCTAACTTAATATATGAGTGCAGGAGGGGCTGTGTGTGTGTCTGTGTGCGCGCGCGCAAATGTGGATGCACTTCGCCCCCACATGTTACTGCAGGAACTCGGCTACGCCTTGCTGCCTTCAGATCAGCAGAGGGTGTTAGCTTCATCCAGCTGCCACCTCGCTATCTGTCCTCTCCATCAGCGCCAGTTCCCTTTTCTCTCTTTGGGTTTGAAGAGAAATGACACTTGTGAGACAAACTGTCATCACAGCTTTGTGTCCATATGTCAGTATAAAAAGCCCAGTCATCCATTTCAAAAGTACAACTGCGCTGGTTCTCTTTTTCCTATTATAAGACACTGAGTTAACAGCATATGTCTTCCGAGTTGTTTGATGGTGTTGAGTAAGATTGTGGCTGAAAGACATGTCAGATTATGGCAATCTAGGAAGATATGAATGTTTTCTGAAAAATCATGTCTGAGCTAAAATGAAACGTGGGAAAACGGGAATAGGGCTTATGTCGAGATAGCTTCTACCCGTGTGTGTGTGTGTGTGTGTGTGTGTGTGTGTGTGTGTGTGTGTGTGTGTGTGTGTGTGTGTGTGTGTGTGAGGTCCCCTTTTCACCTTAAAGACAGAATTACTCAACCAGACGAGATAGGAGTCATAAAGCATCCATGACGCAAGACCAGTCAAAATGAGATGTTTTTGGTGACATCTGCTGACTGAATTACAGGAGTTAGTGTAAGTGGAAAGACAGCCAGTAAAGTTTGAGTCATTAAACCTCAGGGCGCTTCAGATGGACAAACTGGATTCAAATTTAAATTTCACATGTTTAGTACTTTTCAGTTTTGCTCCCATAGATCGGGGGCGTCATGCGTCTCGTTTTAGCTCATGGACCACAAAACAGCCCAATTTGATCTCAACTGGGTTAGACCGCAAAAGCTATTACATAACAACCTGCATGGAAAAAACCCACCCGTCTTTATTCTTTCTTTGAATAAAGTCTCCTGAGTCATCCATTCACAACAGCATTATGAACACACAGCACGAATCTTTAAAAAATGTGATTTCAGCTACACTCTTCAGTTTTTCCACAAATGGTGAGACTGCTGCCATTTTCAATTCACTGATATCGATGGATCTCTAAGGGAAACCCGGAAAACACATAGAGATTTCTTAAATAGAAAATAAAGTTAGGGAAGCAAGGCTGAGATGAATATATTGGATGAAGGATGTTGAAGTAGAAGCTGTCAGGCAGGAGGAAAAAAAGACCTCAGAGAAGATGTATGTAGGACATGTGAAGGGTTGGTATGACAGAAGAGGATGCTGGGAATAGATGATATATATGGTGACCTCTAATGAGCTCCGCCGAAGGAAAAAGTGTTTTATGTCTTTGTGATTCAAACTATTTTTTCTGAATCCAGGGTGTCACACTCATAAACAGCCCAGTTAGAGCTTGTAAAAGTTTCAAATACGCCTCCTCTTCTTCTTTCAGCTCCAATCCTACATATCAGGACGTAAAACTAATCTCATCCTTAGCATGTCTTAAAATTAGATAAATATCATTTCTGATAAAGAACAACACATGACATTTCTGTGGAAACTAAGAATAGCACCCAGGTGCTTGTATGAACACCTGTGTTAAAGCAGATGTTTTAGATCATTCAGCCGTGTGTTAATTCAGTGCCAAAGAGGACAAACATCAGCAATGATCCATCAGTCTGGGAAGAGTTCGAAGACCATCTCCAAATAAATTGAAATCCATCGTTCTAGAGTGAGAAACATTATTCGCAGATGACACCTGCCAGTCTTCCCAGTCTACATAATTCAATTTATAACTAAAATTCAGAGAGCTGTGTGTAATAATACCGTGTAATAATATGCTGTGCTGCTGTTCATCTGAGGGGTTTTTTATGTGTTGATATGTAAAACCTTGGAAATGAGGGTGTTAGCCCTCACACATCGCTGATGGTTCACACTGGTGGTTTGAAGGTGAGGTTTGTGCAAATCCCGTTTGTATGCTGCCTGTTTTTAAATCTTTATGATTTCGTTGATGCACTAAACTGATAATGAACAAAGAAATGGAAAAATATTTGAAAGAAGCTGTTTGAAGTCAGAGAGAGAACGTATGAAAAGCAGGGTCGGTACCAATAACAGAAAGTAGATGCTTATCTGTCAAAGTGTTAAACTTGTGTAATAGTTGTGATGAGCTACAAACTGAGATGTGATTAGCGTTGTTTACGAAACATTTGGGTTTGTGTTTCTCTCTCTGTCTTTTTTTATTTTATTTCTATGTAATCAGGTTTATTTAGTAATTAAATTGTCATTACTGTCATTATCCATTATTGTTATTATTTATTTATGTATTTATTTTGGTACTCATTTTTAGTAAATAATAATTTTTAAAAAAGCAAATGAGCAAAAATAAAACGTTGTCATTACATTATGAATTTCAAATGGTACATTTATTTACTGAGCTCCTGTTTGTATTATACTTGACTTTTTACTTTGTCTTCTATTTTGTTATATGTAGGTTTGCGCTTATTGAGCTCCCCTTTTTTTTAATGAAAGTTTATATTTTATTCTATTTAATTGAGCTCCTTTCTTTTGCGTGTTTTTTCCCATTATGACCATTTTTGTCTTTTAATATTTTATGATATTGTGTTGACCTGTTTTGGCCGCTGTCACACGGGAATCTCGCATCTTTTGTTATCTTATTATTAATGTTTCATTATTTATTTTAGGTCCGGACGCCGGATGGTGAAATAGCTTGTAATTCCTGCTGTTAGCCACCCCCAAGATGTCCTGCAGATGGCGCTGTTGAGACGCGGTTGATGCCGGGCGCATACAGCGGTTTGGGCCGACGTGATGCGCGGGGTTCGTGTAAAGAACACAGTGGACCGGGGCAGGAGGCCGTGCGGGCGTCTGCTCCCCGGGTTCGTGGAAATCGAGTCGTCACTGCCTGAAAACACGCGCTGAAAAGGCGCTTCCTGCTCAACAATAACTTGCTACCTTTGCTGTGACTTTTACTCCGGCGAAGATCTGAGCATGCGCACTTATGTATGGGACGGGGAGGACATCACGGAAAATCTACTAGAAGCACCACAAACGCAGAGATTTCGGCTCTCCGCTGCACTAAAACTGCACGACGTGGGCGGCCCGTGACCATGCCTAGAGCGGCGTTAAGATGCGGGACGACCGCCTGACAGGCCTGGCCTGGGTCTGAGCCGTTGCCGGGAGGGGAAATCTATTTCTTCATATGGGAGCAGCATGCGGGAAATGGTCGGTGGTTGCTGCGTGTGTTCCGACGAGCGAGGCTGGGCTGAGAATCCGCTGGTGTACTGTGATGGACACGGCTGCAGCGTCGCCGTTCACCAAGGTAACATTAGCTGCTGTTAGCGTGTGATTCCCGGGCAGCCGGAGCGGCTCTAGCTTGCGGCCGGAGGCGTTGGTCCTCCCTGCCTACGTGCGTGTTCTGTGTTCGTGCGGGAGGGGCGGGTAGGTAAGCGTGCTGTTGTTGCTTCCTCTCCGCACACTTGATTGATCGCGCAGGGCCGAGCGGCGTGACACCGAGCCCGGATGGCGCCTCGAGGTCCGTGCGTCGTGGACCGTGCGGCACGCTGCGACGCGTTCGCGAGGCCGTGTTCGTTCGGACAGCAGCGCGTGTCCACTTGCTTTGTTGCATTCGAGCGATTTGAAGTGGGACCTCACGCAGGATGGCTACTCTGAGTGAGGATCAGCCCTCTGATCTCAGTGATGCTGTGACGGTGTTGGTGCACAAATGTGTCAAAAAGACAAAAAGAAATTTGTGCCCAAACTGAAAAAGTGCAGAAGATTCTGATCCAGAGAGGTGCTGATGCAGGAGGCTGATTTCAGGGCTGTCCCAGTCAAATTAAAGCTTTATATCAAAGTGGAATGAAATAGGATTATAAGGTTAATCCGATCAGGATGACAGCAGCACCTCTCACCACTGACAGGGAGAGATGTTAAACTTAGAAAGAGAAAAGTTAAAACATAAAATCAGCTTGAAATCATTTTCTATTCATCTGTTAAAGCAGGATGGCTGTGCCAAGTGTCAAGTCAGTATTATCTTGAGTAGTATTCTTGGACAGGTACTGCCAGCTTTACTAGTATTTATTAAAGTATTTATAGAGCTTGGCAAGTCGTTTCAATCATAAAAAGTGAAATATTATTTCCAGAAAACGTGAAACTTTTAAACACTGTTAAAGGTACAAATTGTTGACCCTCGGGCTGTTCAACATCTGTCCTGTGAATGAATGAATGACTCATTAAATGTGCATGTTTTCATTTGTACCTGTAGTTTACATTAAAAGACAGGTGTGTTACCGTGGGTCGTGCCGGTCCAGTTTGACACTCCCGTGCTTGTGTGTTTGTCGCAGCATGCTACGGCATCGTGCAGGTGCCAACTGGCCCGTGGTTCTGTCGGAAGTGTGAGTCACAGGAGCGGGCGGCACGTGTGGTGAGTACGCCAACACGAATGACACAATTTATTCATTCATTCCTGCTTCACCTTCACCTACAAGCAGTCTGCCTCAGGTGTACTGAGCCAGCTTGTCCCATACTGATGCCCTAAAGCTGAGTTAAACGAATAAGCTGGATTCCTCTGTGTTTATGTGTGAAGCAGCCTCAGGCGTGATTTAAACATTGCTTTCCTACCTTTCTTAAGTAAAATCGAACATAAAAGAAATGTACACATTAACTGAAACTGTGTTTATTATTAAATAATAACTTTCAGTGAGGACTTTTTCTCCCTTCATGGTTTTTTTGGACTAGTCTGATTTTAGTCTATTCATTTCAATTCATTTTTTTTCATATAACATCAACTCACAACACTTCCCACAGCAAGGTTCTTTATACTACACGGTAACAACCGTATAATATAAGAGCGAAAACCCCACAGCTAACAGATGATCCCGTACGAGCAGCATTTGGCGACGGTGGGAAGGAAGAACTCCCTTTTGACAGGAACAGACCTCCAACAGAACCAGGCTCAGGGAGGGGCGGGGCCATCTGCCATGACCAGATGGGCTGGCGAGGGGAGAAAGAAGAAGATCGTAGAGGATAAAATAGAAACTGTCTTTGCATCTGCAAGAGTTAAAACGGATTTTAACTTTGATGTGTCACAATTATCAGCTGACTCTGGATTCTCCTGATTCTCCTTTTTACAGTCTGTGGACAGCAAGAGCTGTTTGATTCCTTCTTTACATATATATAGACACCAAATAAGGGCAGGGCTTGTTAAAAAAGTGAGCAAAATCATAGGACACGACAACATGTTACTCTTAATTTTTCAATTCAATTCAGTTTTATTTATATGGCGCAAATCACAACAGCGGTCGCCTCAAGGTGCTCAGTACTCAAAGGTAAAGACCCAACAATAAAGCCTTGAGCCCACCTATCAGCTGTCCTCCTCCTGTGTGTGGAGGTGGTTACAGCTCACGTGCACATGCGCTGCCTGCAGAGTGGAGCTGAGTAGCGACAGATGAAGTGAACTATAAATTAAAAAGCTTGATGACAACACATTTTATTACAAGAAGCGCAATAAAAGCCATAAACTGAGGCAGAGATATACAGAAAAGCTGATGTCATAGGCGCAAAATAAAGCCTCTGAACTGTTACTTCCTCTATATTATGTTAGCTTAGAACTGCATCGAATAGACTGACCCACTGTTTCCTGTATCTGCCCTAACGTTTGGAGTCATGGTCAGACAGATATCCACTCCAACAAGCTCCGCTCTCTCCCGTGTCTCCTCAGAGGTGTGAGCTGTGTCCCCACAAAGATGGCGCCCTCAAGAGGACAGACAGCGGAGGTAAATATCATCATGTTCCCGCTCACTCTTCCCGAGGGCATAACCGAGTGCGCATTTCCACTCGAGTCATTCCGAGTCTTGTCATATCGTTGATCCGCTGCCAATCTCTCCTCCAATCAGGCTGGGCCCACGTCGTGTGCGCACTCTACATCCCCGAGGTGCAGTTCGCCAACGTCCTCACCATGGAGCCTATCATCCTGCAGTATGTCCCACACGAGAGATACAACAAGGTAGGGATGCACGCTGTTTGAGCGGGAAAGTTGGACTAGTCTACAGGAAGTTAGAGGCGCGAGAGAAAAGAGGAGCACAGAGAGATCAGATCCAGCCCCAAAGATAAGCTTCATCAAACAGGAAAGTTTGAAGCCTAATCTGAAAGTAGAACTAAGGGTTTACTTTGGAGTTTATTTATTTGTTTGTTTGTTTGTTAGTTTGTTTGTGAGGGTGTGTTGTTGTTGTTGTGCTCTTATAAAGTGGTGACATTTCAATCCTTCGGTAAAATCGTTTCCTTGTTCATAACTCAAAAATGGCTGCGAACACATTCAGCACACGGATTTTTACGTTGTTTGTACCTGCAGCTAAACAGGTAACAAAGAACTCTTCACACCATACGACCCCAAACCAAGTGTCCTCCAAAGGAAACAATATATTCGTTCCATTTCTAAAATAATTATTCATCTTTAAGTCCTCTCTGACATCTTTTCCAATGCTTCAGCTCTGGCCACCTCTACTACTTCCACGATGCTAGTCTGGACCAGATGCTTAATCTCTCTGTCATCTCCCACTAAGTCTGTCTCATCGCCTAAAACAAATAGTCTTGGACTGCCTATGAATCCTTAGCATATCTTAATTTCACATAATCTAGTCCAGAACTCTTCAGGTAATAAAACTCGATAATTTTATTACCTGACTTTGAGGCATAGAGTGAATTTCTCCTTCTTATAGTTCACCAGCAGTTCAGTATATCTTTTTATCCAAGTATAAATAAGAATATCTAAGAAGCTAAGAATAACAACAAAGTCTCATCATCCATCCCTTGATCATTTTCATTTTGCTAATAATATTTATATTAACAATCTCTTGTCTCATGTCAGACTTAAATCATCTCCCATGTTCTTCCTGAGATCTGGAAAACCTTCCTGAGCCAAGTTCTTGATCAGCAGAGAATAACACTTCATGACCTTTCCCAGCGTTCAAAACTATCTAAATGCTTAGAAACTGTAGGAGCTTCTGTATTGGGTCTGAACAGCCCTGATAGAAGACGACAGATCCAAGGTTTCCAAAATGGTGTAGAAGACGTCACAGAAAAGGTCATCCGGGGGGGCCACTCCCATTTCTTTCCGATCCTGCCAGTAAAACCGGGTCTTACCAAGCGCAGCTTCAGGTTCAGTCTGAGACTGAAAGGCACATTTAAATATGGGTCCAACTTAAACATCCAAGCCACTTTAATCCAGATTAGATCGAGATGAGCAGTTAATACGACTGCAGATGACAGTGGGGCTAAAAGATGCTGCTCAGTGAAGGTGGGCTTCTCTCGGGGGAAGCAACTAAAGGGCCAGACGTCATAGTTAAATGCATAACATTAACCTCCTAGGACCTGGCATCCACGTGTGTGGACATCACATTTTGGGTTGTCCAGACCACAATGCTAAATGTTGCTCTACAAAGGCCTGATATCCACTTACGAGGACATTATACTGCCAAAGAAAAAGTGTAAAGTAAAGTGTGCATGTTAGTCCCCATAGGGAAATAGTTCCTCTGCATTTAACCCATTCACCCAGTGAAGCAGTGGGCAGCCACCAGTGCAGCGCCCGGGGAGCAGTGTGTAGGGACGGTACCTTGCTCAGGGGTATCTCAGGGTAGCCGTTGAGTGAAGTCGAACCCCCAACCTTCCGATCATGGGGCAACCACCCTACCTACTGAGCTATTCCTGCCATTGTTCTAACAACATTTAAAACGAATGTCCTCATATGTGGATATGAGGCCCTCGTAGGGCAAAATCAGGTAAAAAGATAATTCTTTGTTTTTACATCCATCAGGTCCCAATCAGCCCAAATAGCAAAGAGAAATTAAAAATGCATGCCATGAAAGAGTTCAGGTCTTAGGAGGTTAATACAAAGCAATCCCAGAGCCCCATCAGCAAGTGTTTGCTGATTTAAAGATTTAAACGAGGTTTTTTTACCTCTGCATATGAAGTAATTTGTAATCCCCAAAGCTCCAATCTAAATTAATGGAGAGAATAACTAATAATTTCCATTGTTACCAGGATCTAAAACCTGTATCACCAGGCAAATTTTAATTAAAACAAACAAACAAAAGTTTGTCAATAACCCAAAATAAGATTTAAAAGGTTTTCTGATACAGTTTGATTTAGGGTCTCCAGCTTCTCATCCGATCACAGAGAAAAATGTAAACACATCCTCTTACCTATGATAACGTGTAAAGCTGCACACCTGCACCGCACCCCTGAAACTGGCACAAGGTGACCCCACAAACCTGCGTTTGATAAACAAACACTTTAAACAGGTAGAAGAAGTCAGCACCAGTAATCAGTAATACTGAAAATCCTCAACAGTAAAATGTATAAATACACAGAAAGCTGCATCCGTGTTTACATATATGAAACGCTGCTAAACAGGTTATGCAACATGTGTCACACGGTGTGTCAGCAGTCATCAAAAACATAGAGAGTACTTTCAGAATGAGCAGTCACACAGAGGGAAAAGAGAAAAAGTGTCATCTCCGTCCTCAGCACCAAGTTCGACGAGTCATGATGCAATGCAGCAGACGACACGTGGGAGACTGCACGACTGCTTTCCTCCTTAACGGGAAAACCAGTTTTGCTTCACATCCCCGTTCTTCTCTCCACCTACACGTCCTGTACTAACCCGGAGCTCAGCGTGGCAAGGTCACGCCTGTTCTCTGGAGGCTGCTGAAAGCCTTTCTGGGAAATGTGGGAGATTTCGAGCTGTAGTAGATGTGGCATGTTTAGTAAACAGCAAAGCACATTTACCATAAGTGCAAAGATTCAAAAATACCCTGAAGTGATTTGTGAAAGTAAAGTTTTTCTGGTTTTCACATCAAAAAGTATTTATTCCTCTTGGAGTTTTGACTGATGATAGAAAAAGAACACGAAAAGCTTCTCATGGTTTGAACTTTTACCAATTAAAAAAATTTGAATAATTAAAAAATATTCTTCAATAAGCTTTAATTCAAGGATTTAAAAAAAAAAAATACATTTAATAATTTTAACTAGAAAATGAAAAACGTGTTAGATTGCCGAGCCGCTCTCCTGTTTTCAAAACTGTTACGCAAAGACAAACAGAATGCAGTCGAATCATTTACAGATTTAAAATTTAAAGCCCGGGTTTGAGAGACGACGAGCAGCGACAGCGCCGGATGCTGAGTCACACAGAAAGGTCATTTTGAATGTGAGGCCACCATTTTTAATTCTGACAGCACATTTTCATTTCATTTCATTCATACTTTTGGCATCTAAGTCAACTAAGTACTCCAAGATTATAGCAGAGTAAATATAAAGTGAAAACATAAAAGTTTGTCTTATACTTTTGAAGGCAAAACGTTTCCTCTGCTTATTACAAGCTCGTGAAAGGAGCTTCTTTATCTGATCAGTCTTATTAGCTGACTGTTTCACACATTAAAAAAAGCTTGAAAACATACTTAGAAGTTGTTTTCAGTATTTAGAAGTTAAAAAAGGTAAAAAAGAAACAATCAGGCTGTTACAAAGTAGCAGTTTTATTTATATACAAAGTAGTTGTACCTGTTTAGCTGATATCTGTGCCTGTTTGTCCGCTGATTAGTTAATGAATGGGTTAAATCGCTCTTTGCGGTATGTGAAAGATGTAAACTGTGATTGTGTGCTGATGTCACTCTGCACTGCTGTTTCATGCCTCACAGTTGTTACAGTGTTTCAGTAGTGATACATTAATAGCCCAAACAGTCGTCTGTTGTAGGAGTGTTGTCTCTGTGAACTACAATGTTTGCAGATGACACTGTGACCTGTAATGACTGTAGGGAGCTGTTGGAGGTGTGCAGTGGAGAGGAGAGGAATTAAAGATAGTGTGTGTGACTGAGAGGGGGGCGGGTGTAACGCTGAAGCTGCAAGGTAGTGAAGATGAGTCTAAAAGGGAACAGAAAGTGCAGGGAGGGTGGAGCCTGGTGTCAGTGGTGCTTTTTGACATCTTCATCCTTTGTTGAATGAAGATGGATGTTTAAAGTGTTTTCTTTTTGCATCGTTTTATATTGTTAAATATCTCTTACCACAGAAAGAGTGATGGTAGTTTTGCTTTACTCGGCTCAGGTTTGTTTTCTGTGTTCTTCATGTATAATTAATGAATGCTGCAGATCGGCTGTTAAGATTCAAAGATAAGAGGACGTGTCACACATAGACTCACGCTAGCTTTTGAAATTTTCTGCTAATGATGTTTTTCTTTCTTTTTTACTTTGCACACAAACAGTTTAACCACAGACTAGTTTCAGGCGGGTACAGCTTCAACATGCATCAGCTCTCTGGTAACTTTACTCTCTTATTAGGGCTTCCCGATACTGGCAGAAACCATAATCGGGTCTTTTGGTCCGTATTGAGGATTACAGGAATATTACAGGATTACAGGAAGCCAGTTACTCACTGGCTTTGTGGATTCATTAAAAAGAATAAACTTGCCTTTGAAGTTAAATTATATTTTCAAATGGAAAATTGAGACAAAAGTAAAAGTGAAGGGATCTTTGGCCCTGTGCACCACCACAGTGGTGTATGTGATTAAAGTGCAGACCTTCATCTTCACATTAAGGGCTGTTGCAAATATTTTGCATAATTTTTTACACTTGGATGAAAGTGTGTAATCCGTGGACATCCTTGAGGTATTCTGCTAGGCCTTTACTGCAGCCACCTTCACTTGCTGCTTGCTTGTGGGTCTCTCTGCTTCAGTTTTACCTTCAGTAAATGGAAAGCTGCTCTGCTGGGTTAAGATCAGGTGGCTGACTTGGCCATCAAAGAATGACCCATTTCTTGAGTTGCTTTTGCATTTTGCTTTCTTTGCAAAGTGCTTTCTGAGCAGAGAGTGCAGCCCTGTACGCTTCACGTCACCCTGCTGCTTCTATCAGCAGTCACGTCATTAATAAACACCCGTGACCCGGTTCCACTGGCAGCCGTACGTGCCAGTGTCATAACACTGCCGCCATCGTGTTTGACAGATGATGTGATATGCTTCAGATCATGAGCTGTTTCTTTCTTTCTGAGTTCTTTTCTCCTCCCATCGTTCTGGTACAAGTTCTTCTTGGTTTCATGTGTCCAAAGAACTTTTCCAGAACTGTGCCGGCTCTTTCAGATGTTTCCTGGGAAATTTAATCTGGCCTTCCTGCTCTTGACTTGGTCTGAAGTTTTTCTTGTCCACTTTAGTCTTCTGTGGTCTTTCAGGCTGTTTGGTGTTGCTGAGCTGGCCATTGCATTCCTGTTTTAATAAGAAAGCACCAGATTGTTGCTTTGACCACTCCTAAAGCTTTTGCTACCTCTTAGATAGGTTTATTTTTCAGGGCCTCCTTTACTTGCAGCCACGTTTCGCTGGATCAATGAACAGCTGCAACACTTGTAAATTTGTCATTTGTCCAATTAATTTTGATCCTCTGAAAATTGATGAATGTCAATAAAAATGTATGCAATTCCTCAAGAGCTTATGCAATACTTTTGTTAACTTCCTTGAATTAAAGATGAAAGTCTGAACTTGTATCACATCTTGGTTGTTTGATTGCACAACACTGCAGTTGTTTTCAAAGTTACAAAAACTGTTCAGAAGACATCTGCAGTGTGTGCAGCAGAGCAAGCCTTTCAAAGCAAAGCACATTACAAAGAAATCAATATTTGATTCATGGACTGAGCATCTTGCATTGTGCGTCGTTTAGATGCTCTGTGTGTGTGTGTGTGCATGCCTGCATATAAATGTACATGTGTGAGTGTTTGAGGGCCCGGTTTCATATTACTGTGTCAGCTACAGTAAATTGCATGCAGCCTTCCCCCGTCAGGGCCATTCATTCAGACTTTGCTGCCCGCATTCCTAGACAACGTTACAATGGACACTGAAAACTCGAGAAGCCACTCTTCCTTTTACATGCCCGGTGCAGTTATGTCTCTGGCCTTTCATTGCACAGCAGACATCCTCTGAAGGGAAACAGAGAGCTGAGTAGGATATGGAGAGAAGGAGAAAGGGAGAGAAAAAGGTGAAACAGAGAGGGCCGAAGTGAAAAGGTAAAGAGCCTGCTGTTCCTTTGTCCCGCACCTGTTGCTAGGCCTCTTCTACCCCCCACCAGTCGGGCCTGCTCGCTGAGGAAAGCTGAACAAGAAGTACAAAAGCGGCGTGTGTGTTCGTGCATGCGATTGTTTGCTTTCGGGGGCTCGAGTGTGTATGCTTACATGTCTTTTGGAGACGGGCTGATATGAGTCTTTTGTCGTGTCAGCGTATGCTCCGTGGCACCCTGAAGTTCGTTAGAAACCACCTCACTTTGGTGCAAAGAAAAAGATTAACGGGAGGCTGAAAACTCCAAGCGTAGCGTCTGTTTCGAAGCAGATCCAGAGCAGTTTGCAGGCCGATCTGTGTCAACTTTCTTTACAACATCCCCAAACATCTGGTCAACAGTTTCTCTGTAGAAGCTGTGCTCTGTTTGAAAACCTCATCTGTTGTCTTGACAAGAAAAACTTCCTAATCATCTGCACTGCAGCTGCAGCTGGACTCGAGTCGAGGAGTGTTTCATCTCTGCTGCGCCGCAATCACAATAGTTCATTTTAATGGCCGTCAGACGGGACGGCTTGCTTTGCTCGTGCGACAGATGGAAAAGCAATCCGGCACCTGTTGTTGATAATAATAATGATGACTGATGTGTTTGAGTCCCTGCATCTCCTGTACTCTCCGTTTGTGCTCTTTCAACAGACTTGTTATATCTGCGAGGACCACGGGAGGGAGAGCAAGGCCGCCTGCGGCGCGTGCATGACCTGCAACAGACAGGGCTGCAGACAAGCGTTCCACGTCACCTGGTCAGTGTTAAATTGTGTGTGTGTGTGTGTGTGTGTGTGTGTGTGTGTGTGTGTGTGTGTGTGTGTGTGTGTGTGTGTGTGTGTGTGTGTGTGCGCTTATGTGTGTGGGGACATCAACATGAATGAACAGTGCGTGAGGACCGAGTGTGATAAGAAGCAGTTCAAGGGCAAAAACTTTTATTAAGGGTTATTTTTAGTTAGCCGACTGTTCCCGTTAACCATGTTTAAACCTGGAAAAGAAACAACCTGAAAAAACTATGACGAAGTTTAAAAAAGAAATCATAAAAAACAGCACTGTGTTATTTTCAATACGACCTAAAACTATCAGGTGAGACCATAAAGTCATCAGTAAAGTCTTTATTGAAGTCACAGATCAGACGATCCACCGAGTAATCTCTTCATAGACTTTGCACCACTGGACTCTTTTTTTGCAGGCTGAAGGGTCGCCCCCTGCTGCCCGTTAGAAAGAATGCAAGTTTAGGGCACATCTCCACTGGTGGCACTTTTTTTTGCTCAGCATATGATTAATATTGTGGGCAGGACTGTGATGGTTGGCAAACACCAAGGAGGTCCTAGCCTTTTTGGGCACTCAAGCTTCTTTCCACAGTCCAGAGAGATGCATATTAGCTGGTGACGCTAAATTGGCCATAGGAATGACGTGAGTGTGAATGGTCGTCTGTCTGCGTTAGCAACCCGTTCGCAGGGACCCCGCCTCACACCCTAACTTGGATATCATGAATGGTGATTACTTTGTGTGCTAATCGAAGCAGGTTAACGTTTGTCTTGTTTCCTGTGTCATATCATTTTTGAAAATAAGGCCAAGAATAGAAAAGAAATTCCGTCTCCAATTGCCAAGATTGAATACGTGCTCATATGTTATGTGTATTTGGCTACAGCCTTAGTTTACTCACACAGACATTCTGGGCTACAGTTGGTTTTTCTTCATTTACAGTCTTTTACCTTTCATGCTGCTCATCTTGCTTTTTGCCTTTATTTTGTTTCCTACTACAAGAGAAAGATGATTTATTTAGAAGTAAATCCCGAGACACTGACAGGCTCAGATTTTAATGTGACATTCGATCAATCTGGCGACGATCGGTGACTGAAGCTCTCAGGTGACTCGGCCAGGTGTTGCCGTCTCAGTCCGTGCACGTGTGCTAACTTGGCTCTCGTGTTTCATCTCCTTTCCGACCCTCCGACACCCTGCGCTGTAGTGCTCAGATGGCTGGTCTGCTGTGTGAGGAGGAAGGACCAGAAGCTGATAACGTGAAGTATTGTGGCTACTGCAAGCATCACTACAACAAAATGGTAAAGAACACAATGACATTGTACCCCAGAAAAGCCTTTCTTACTGCACTGCACAGTTAACAGCTAACATGATTGATAAGGGCTTCTGTGCCCGGCTGTTTTTTTCCTCTAACTCAGCTCAAGGCAGCTAAATGATTCTTGGAATACGCCCAACCAAAATAAATAATTCAGGAGATAAACCTCCTGTTAAGTCATTGGAAGTGCTTGTAGAGAACCTTTTAAATGTCAAACTGTTGCTTTGAAATTAGCAGCTGTTAACTTTTTGTTTGCTGTTCCTTCTTTTGGACTTTACAGCAGAAGAAGTTGCGTTCTAGTGAAAATACAAGTAGCTCCTTCAGTCATTCCAGGGGGCGCTCCAGCTCTCCGTCACAGGAAAAACAGCACCACCACCACAGACAGAGGAAGGTAAGCACAGCTGTGGTCAGATCAGAAGGCAGTCTCCAGAGCTGAAAACTACCAAAAGCTGCAGTTCCTCTAATGTCCACTTGAGGCTGTTAAAAAAGGGACTCAGTCAGATGTAAGGCAAGGCAAGGCAAGTTTATTTGTATAGCACAATTCAACAACAAGGTGATTCAAAGTGCTTTACAGAGACATTAGAAACAAGAACAAATAAAAAGCATGATTTAAAATTGAATAAAACAAGCAAACAAACAAACTAACTAATTAACAAACAAACAAACAACAGTATATAAAATCAAAACAGATAAAATCAGAACAGTAGATAAAATCAGTAGTTAAATGTAAGTTTTGAAATTTAAGCTTAAAGTGTGGATTTGGTGCTTTATTCAAATGCAGCTGAGAACAGGTGAGTCTTCAACCTGGATTTAAATAAACTGAGTGTTTCAGCTGATCTGAGGCTTTCTGGGAGTTTGTTCCAGATATAAGGAGCATAAAAGCTGAATGCAGCTGCTCCGTGTCTGGTTCTGACTCTGGGAACTGATAAAAGACCGGATCCAGATGACCTGAGGGATCTGGAAGGTTCATACTGGGTCAGGAGGTCATTGATGTATTTTGGTCCTAAACCATTCAGAGCTTTATAGGCCAGCATCAGAACTTTAAAGTCTATCCTCTGACGGACAGGCAGCCAGTGTAAAGACCTCAGAGCTGGACTGATGTGGTCCACTTTTTTGGTCTTAGTGAGGACTCGAGCAGCAGATGTCTGACTGATTTTTTAGGCAGACCTGTAAAGATGCTGTTACAGTAATCAAGCCTACTAAAGATGAATGCATGGACTAGTTTTTCCAGGTCCTGTTGAGACATCAGATCTTTTATCCTTGATATATTCTTGAGGTGATAGTAAGCTGACTTTGTTATTGTCTTAATGTGTTTTTCTAAGTTTAGGTCTGCATCCATCACTACACCCAAATTTCTCGCCTGGTTTGTGGTTTTTAGATGTATAGATTGAAGTTCTCTGGTGACCTGTAATCGTTTTTCTTTGGCGCCAAAGACTATTACCTCAGTTTTGTTTTTGTTTAGCTGGAGAAAATTGTGGCACAACCAGTCAGGCGCCATGTAGGCGCTGGCTGCAAGCTAGGCCTCACCTCAGCTAACTAGAGCCGCTAACTAGACACCTGCTGACTATTTTTGTTCTGTTGGCATCGTTTGGTCGATGGCTGCCCTTCCCCGAGCTTACGTCACCCAGATGTTCCTTCCTGTTGAAAGGGCGTTTTTCCTCCCCACTATTGCCAAGTGCTTGCTCATAGGGGGTCATCTATTGCTGTGGTATTCCCTGTATTACTATAGGGTCTTTTTACAATATGAAGTGACTTTAGGTGACATGTTGTTGTGATTGTGATTAGAAAGAAATCATTTTGGAGCATTTTATTGAATTATCAGACAAATAATAAGGTTTTACTGTTTGGAACTGGGAAATGCTAGGATTTAATAATTTTGTAGCACTAATTAACAGGATTAACAGGATGTATTTGCGCAGTTTGTGTCTGCAGCTTGCTAATATTAGTGGATAACTGTACACTACAAAACCAAAAGTAAGAGTTAAAAATAGACTTTGTCTATTCATCGTCAGATTAATAAGACCAGCCAGTCTGATCCAGACCAGCTTGGCACACAGACTCTTTTATTTTGAAACGATTGAATAACAGCAGAATTGGCAAAGAAGAAAAGGATGAATTTTAATGCATTTTCTTCCTGATAAAATCATCAAATAAGCAGAGAGCTAATTTAGATTTTATTGCATGGGCGTGAGCAAGCTGAGCTACACTGTGTAAGCACGCCTCACACAGACATACACCAGACACACCCAGTTGTCCTACGCTTTCAACCTCACAGCTTCCATCTGTTGGCTCCTGGGGAACGTTCAGTCATCACTCCCGATTTCCGGGTGTCATCATTTCAGGCAGTGATAAGCTCGACCCCTTGAGGTACAGCCTGGCTAAACAAAAGCTAACGCATTTAGGCGTACCCTGCCTCTGGTCATAAAGACATAAAAAACCATATTATAAAATACATATCATGAAATAACATCATGATCTCTCTGCGCCATTACATCCTCTCAGCCTCAAACACTTGAAATCAAATAGGCCGGCATTCATGTAACACTTCTCTCGTCATTTTGACCACTTAAAGCTCTCCACACTGCACGCCACATTTACCTCCTCCACACACATTCATACAGCGCTTTATTCTGTGCACTCGAATAAACAATTAACCTAACGTGCACTTCTCAGATGGGCCGAGTTAACTCTGTGAAGGTGCGGTGCTCACGTGCACGTGACCCCATCACACGCATGCAAAACTAAGCAGACAGGTGCACCTTCAAAGCCCCTGCAAGCTAACAGACTAGCTAGCAGAGAATTCAGCAGACAGGAAAGATAGTGCTGACGGCACACGGTTCCAGCTGAGCAGCTCTTTGTCAAGTGTAAAAAGAGACCCGCATATTTTTTCGCCACCAGACAATTCCGGTCTTCAAAGAATGTCATCGTTGTTATCGTTTTGATGTTCTGGCAGAGATATGGCTCCACAGTCAGGGAGCGGACGCTTCACGCAGTTGTTGAACTGAAAAAGAGATGAAGAAGAAAAGCGTGTTTCTTCCAGTCAAATCTCAGCTGAGCTGTAAAAGCAGGTTTTGTTGCAGAAAGCTCGGTTTTATGGCAACCTTGGACTGGTTAAATATATGATCTAGTGTCGCGTAGATGTTGGCGGCAGCTGGCGGATTCAGGCTGTTAAAAGTTGGCTGTGCGGTTGTCTTGTTGCTATGAACAGAATTTTGCAGGAATACACTTGTTTGCACTTTTTCGGTTGTAGGTTTTAGACTGACACAGTAGCGCGTGTGAGACGGCTGTGTGAAGCATATATTTTCAGTCAATGTCTGGCGCTACATGATGCCATTTTCAGTATAACCCACTGTGAAACTGAATCTAACACCCTGCTTTTAAGCCAGTAGCAGATAGAAGAGACCAGTATTTCTTATCATTTAGCTAGTGGCACTGAGTCATACTGATCGCAGGCTCGCTTGTAATCATTGATTTTAGTCTGATATGATAAAAAAGGCTGTCTGGGATATTCTGATATAAAAAAATAAATCAGTAGTTTTTGCTGTGACAGAAAGCCAGACGCTTTTATTCAGAATAATCTTCATCAAATGCAGTTACAGTGATGCACAAACGGATTTGACTGTGCTGTTAGCGTATCCCTGCAGACATTGTTGTTGAAGCTGGTTGACTGTAGCAAATGTGATTCGCTTATATTCCACTCGCTGCGTTTGTGTAATGTGCCAGTGTTGACTCTGCAGCCTTGATTCTAGGCTCAAGCTTGTGTATTTGTATGTGTGTGTTGTTGTTTTTTTCAGAGTCATAAAGACAAGATTCGGCAAAAGGAGCGCCACAAAAAGTCGAGCGACAACCTGAGCTCCGCTGTGACATCCAGCGGCATAGAAAAGGTATCCGAGGACACCACACAGTGATTGAGAGACGCCGCGATGTCTCAGTCAGTGCTTTAATGGTTTTGACCCGTCTGTGTTGGGACAGATTTCCTCAAGTCACCACAGCAGCAAGGACGGCGAGGGAAAGTCCAAGAAGCTGAGCTCGCACGGTCACAGTCATCGGAGCAAGAAGACCGGAAGCACCGGCAAGAGCTGCTCCTCATCGTCCTGCTCCTCCAGTCCATTCAACACAGGTACCACATGAAGGGTCAGCGCTCGATTTCTTCTCGAGTTCAGATGTGATCGATGCCCATGCAGCCCGGTACATCGACAGCACAGTTTGAATTATTTGTATACACTAGCCGAATGATATTTTATAATTACAGTATCATTTGTAGTAAAAGTTTGAGTGTGCCCCACGTCGTCTTCCTGCCTGCTCTACATCGTCCCCGGCAAATACAGACCAACAAACGTAAAGCAAATAGAGTTTTAGTTTGATCTTCATCCAGCCGTGCTGTGGTTCTGTAGGACGAACAGAGCGGCTGGGAACTTGTGGATGAGGTGGAGTTATGCAGGACTTCTGCTGGCTGCCTCTGTGGGAGGAGAGGCTGCTGCTCCACTTTAAGATGTACAGTGGGGCAAAAAAGTATTTAGTCAGCCACCGATTGTGCAAGTTCCCCCACCTAAAATGATGACAGAGGTCAGTAATTTGCACCAGAGGTACACTTCAACTGTGAGAGACAGAATGTGAAAAAAAAAAATCCATGAATTCACATGGTAGGATTTGTAAAGAATTTATTGGTAAATCAGGGTGGAAAATAAGTATTTGGTCAATAACAAAAATACAACTCAATACTTTGTAACATAACCTTTGTTGGCAATAACAGAGGTCAAACGTTTACTATAGGTCTTTACCAGGTTTGCACACACAGTAGCTGGTATTTTGGCCCATTCCTCCATGCAGATCTTCTCGAGAGCAGTGATGTTTTGGGGCTGTCGCCGAGCAACACGGACTTTCAACTCCCGCCACAGATTTTCTATGGGGTTGAGGTCTGGAGACTGGCTAGGCCACTCCAGGACTTTCAAATGCTTCTTACGGAGCCACTCCTTTGTTGCCCGGGCGGTGTGTTTTGGATCATTGTCATGTTGGAAGACCCAGCCTCGTTTCATCTTCAAAGTTCTCACTGATGGAAGGAGGTTTTGGCTCAAAATCTCACGATACATGGCCCCATTCATTCTGTCCTTAACACGGATCAGTCGTACTGTCCCCTTGGCAGAAAAACAGCCCCATAGCATGATGTTTCCACCCCCATGCTTCACAGTAGGTATGGTGTTCTTGGGATGCAACTCAGTATTCTTCTTCCTCCAAACACGACGAGTTGAGTTTATACCAAAAAGTTCTACTTTGGTTTCATCTGACCACATGACATTCTCCCAATCCTCTGCTGTATCATCCATGTGCTCTCTGGCAAACTTCAGACGGGCCTGGACATGCACTGGCTTCAGCAGCGGAACACGTCTGGCACTGCGGGATTTGATTCCCTGCCGTTGTAGTGTGTTACTGATGGTGACCTTTGTTACTTTGGTCCCAGCTCTCTGCAGGTCATTCACCAGGTCCCCCCGTGTGGTTCTGGGATCTTTGCTCACCGTTCTCATGATCATTTTGACCCCACGGGATGAGATCTTGCGTGGAGCCCCAGATCGAGGGAGATTATCAGTGGTCTTGTATGTCTTCCATTTTCTGATGATTGCTCCCACAGTTGATTTTTTCACACCAAGCTGCTTGCCTATTGTAGATTCACTCTTCCCAGTCTGGTGCAGGTCTACAATACTTTTCCTGGTGTCCTTCGAAAGCTCTTTGGTCTTGGCCATGGCGGAGTTTGGAGTCTGACTGTTTGAGGCTGTGGACAGGTGTCTTTTATACAGATGATGAGTTCAAACAGGTGCCATTCATACAGGTAACGAGTGGGGGACAGAAAAGCTTCTTACAGAAGACGTTACAGGTCTGTGAGAGCCAGAGATTTTCCTTGTTTGAAGTGACCAAATACTTATTTTCCACCCTAATTTGCGAATAAATTCTTTACAAATCCTACCATGTGGATTCATGGATTTTTCTTTCACATTCTGTCTCTCACAGTTGAAGTGTACCTCTGGTGCAAATTACTGACCTCTGTCATCATTTTAAGTGGGGGAACTTGCACAATCGGTGGCTGACTAAATACTTTTTTGCCCCACTGTAACAGGGGTGATTGCATCATCTTGGCTGCTGTTGTGTTGTTGAGAAAAACAGAAGCTCGCTGGGTTTTTCATCCACACACGTGCCCCTAAATTCAATTTACGTTCAGCACGGATCCATTTCTGTCTCGAATATGAGAGAAACGCTCGCTCTGTAGAGTCCTGCACCAGTTGGTTTTCTTTCAGTGGCCTCGTACTAAAAAACACTGTCATTAGTGAAGCTTTCACTTAAGCCAGTTTGTTTCACAGGTAAACTTCTAACTGGGATTGGTGGCAGCACCGTCATTGCCCTGTGCATGACCAGTTAGCTTCTCCTCTCTTACTGGGTTCTGTTGAACCCTGGAGACGGAGGGAGGTCGTGTGGCCGTTTGTGTCTGACTTTAACTCTTTGTTTTTCTCCTTCAGGTGGTTCCCTGTCGTCTGCTCAGGAGTTTCATCAGTTCTTATCTTCTTCCCGCCTGGAGCGTGAACATGACCGAGGAGGTGACGACCACAGCGGAGAGGAGCGCAAGGAGCGTCACAGGAGACCGGCAGTCCAGGCGGAGGAGGAGGAGGAGGAGGATGTAAAGGAAGAGGAAAAAGACGAGGAGGAGGAAGAGGAGGAGGAGGACTGTAAATACCACAAGCCACCAGCACTGACCCCCGCTGAGGGCCCGCTAGCAGGGTCGCAAGGTCACGACAGGCCAGAAGGCAACTCCAGCCCTTTCGAGAACAAAGTCACCATCTCCACCTTCGGGTCCATCATGCGCATCACGTCGTCGTCGGGGCTCGGCAGCAGCAGCAAGATCCGAAAGATCTCCTCGTCGAGCGACTACAAACCCTCCAAATCCCTCTGCAAGCCATCCCAGCTGAGCACGCCGCCCATCCTGGAGGAGGCCGACCCGGAGGACAAAGTCACGCTTCCACCGCCGCTGCCTCGAGAGAGGAGGCACCGTGGCAACAAGAAGAGCCGCCACGGCCCGGGGCGCCCACGGGGGAGCAAGAACCGAGAGAGGAGGGGGGAGGAGGAGCACCACCACCACCATCACCACACAGCGCCGCCTCCCCTAGCCTTAACCTCGTCGCTCTATCCGAGCCCGTCCTCCATCCCCCACCCCACCTTCTCCTCGACGCTGCCTCCCACCGCCACCTCTTCCACTTCCTCTTCTTTCTCCTCCTCCTCGTCCTCCACTGGTAGTTTTTCTACAGGCCGCGGCAACTCGCTGCTCGGCTCTGGTGAGTCTGAGCGAGTGGGCGTGTGCGGTAGCCCTCTAGCTTCCTGTGTGTGGTGAAGGAAAAAAACTGAAGCGCTATCTCTTTGCACTTTGGTGCGTTTCCATTGCACGCAGCAGCTTATCTCTGTATCAGAAGCGCAGCGAAAAAAACTCCTGGAATTAAGAATGAACGGAATAAGTCGACTGTTTCTTGGCACCACTTTTAAAATATTTGTTAAATCTCTTCCAGAACGTTTGTGTAATCTGTGCGAGGCAGTGATATTGTCCTACATGGTGTTTTTGTGTGCGCCGCACGTGTCTGTAGTGCATTTCCTGCCCTACTTTCCATTTGATTGGCTCACGTGTTCCTCTTTCTGCAGTCATACGACTTCTAAGATGAAAACGACAAACACCTTATTCCTTTCTTTCTTTTATGTCTCTCAGGCATCTACTCCAGTCTCAAGGACCCTCTCACACTGGGCGGGGGTGTCTGCAGTACCCCCCTTTCCCTGGGTGGAGGGGTGTGTAGCACCTCCTTGTCCCTGGGAGGGGGCATGTGTAGCACCCCTCTCTCCTCAGGACTCCTTCCATCCCACTCCTCGCTGTCTCTTCCACCAGTCAACGCTGTGTCAAACACACAGGTACGTCACAAAGAGAGGACGTGTGCTGTTTGCGTCTGTGTCAGCAAACAACATTTCAACAAAATTAAATGACACATGAAGTTTCAGGCCTGAGGATTATAGGAAAATTCATAATCACGATTTACAGTAAGCAGCAACGGAGGAGTTAGCCTCTGACTAGCAGGTGTTTTTACTTGTAGAGCTGGTGCCAGCCTGCCTCCACTGCAGCATCTCTGTGGGTGCAGGTCAATGACTCATTACAGTCACTGGGTGCAACTGGGGTAAAGAGAGGTGGTGCTGCAGAGTCAAAGCTGACACCCGGCACCAAAAGCCGACCGCAAGAGCCCCCGAATGATCCTGAGACAAAAGCAGCTGCAGACAGACACCAAAGTCCTTCCACACGTCTTCACTTGTACTCCCTTAGTTGTCATCAAAGTCTCTCTTTTAGTTGTCTTGGCTCGAACTGAAATACACAGTTCAGGGTGGAACAGGGTGTGTCTGCTTTATAAGAAAAGAAGTGGAGTGTTGTACCAAAACTGAGTGCAGCAGCGTAATCATGCACAGCGGTGCGGATACTTTCACCTCGCGTCCAGAGACATGCATGTTGGGTTCTAATGTGCACGTATGTGTGAATGCGAGTGTGTCTGGTTGACCTGTGCAGGTACCCTGTAGCCTATGACGGCTGGGACAAGCTGAAAGAAAGTGAGTGTGTTCATAAACAATGATGAGCGGACAGATGTGGAAGTCATGAAGAATCTGGAAGCACAATTCATTCTCGAGTTATTTTTGATAGATGTGTGTTACGTTTCCAGTAGATGGATGTTTTCTTCACAATAAGATCAGTTTTGAGTTGTTTTTTTTAAACTAAAATCCTTTCGTGATTATCTCCATGCTTTCTTTGTCAGCCAGATGTTGACGTTCGCTGTCTTATAGGTGAATCCAGGTTCCAGCGCCTCCTACAGCCTGACCTCCACTCAGCCTTTCACCAGCTGTCTCTCCACAGCCCTGACACTGCCGCCACTACTGAGCCAAGCCCAGACCTCACTGCCAGGTGACAGGAAGCACTTCTTGAGAAACGAATGTTGGCTTTAGATAAGCTTCACAAAAAAACCTTGCTCTGGCTCAAATCCTCTTTCAGAAATCCAACATTAAACGTGCTGTTGTTGCGCAGTAAACACGGCGCTTTGATGACGCTGCCTTTCAGTAAATGTGAGCGCACATGAAATTAATGTCTGTTCCTTTTCTCAGAGTCTGACCTCGATGACTGTCGCTTCCCATGTCAGGGGAACTCACCGAGAGAGAGTCTTTCCTCGCAGTGAGTCTTTGCTTTTTTGTCTTTATTGTTATTTTTTAGTGTCAAATCCTGAAAACAATACATCATTCTTACACTTCAGATTTACTGACTGAAATGAGTCAGCAAGTAGAGATGCACAAACCACTGGTGACGCATCATTCATCTGTTCAAATCATCACTTGGTTGATTTTTCCCTTTGTCATTTTTATTACCAGCAACAGGAAAATACCAGCTGGTTAACAATCAAAGCGTCTATGTGGATAAAAACACAAACCACAGCCACAGAGGATGATTGGTAGTTTCCCAGCTTGGCTGCAGAAGCTGTGACGTGTCGCTTCTGACTTCCTGTTGACTTTATCCTCTTCCACGCCCAGGTCTCCGATGAGCTGTCTTCCTCTTCTGTTCGACCAGAGGGACGGGCTGGGCGCCGGAGTCAGAGCCCGTCCTGAGAACGTCCCTCCAGCCAGCTCTCACATTGATCTGCTGCTGGAGAAACACAGCAACGGAGAGATGGGAGTCAACAGTAAGTAAGGCCAGTGGGACTAGATATTGAAAAGTGTTTATAAGATGAATGAAATGGCAAATATACTTGATGGACCTGCAGTTACTGTGCTGGTACTGTGTTCGACCCCTTTTTGCCTTCAGAACTTGTTTCGTAGCAAAGATTCAGCGAGGTGCCATGCAAACAGAGATTTTGGTCCATATTCACAGGATAACTTCATGCAGTTGCTGCACATCCATGATGAGAATCAGCCTTTCCACCACATCCCAAAGGTTTAATGTCCAACAATATTTTCACGGACCGGCCTTTAAGGTGTCGCGGAGAAATACAACAAAATAAAAAATACTAAAAAACTAATAATAAACATGAATTCACTGTGTAACTTTATGAGCAGCGTCCTCCTGAAATGCGCCAACAACACTGAGAGTAACATCCTCCTCTCTGCCCCTTAATGCTCTCTGGTCGCTATGGTAACACGTAAATATTTCTTTCAAAATAAGACACACAACTACAACACGGGAAAAGACCCGGGGAAACCAAGTTAACGATAAAACCCCGAAAACCGTAAATTTCACACCCGAGCCTCAACTCTCGCGGCGCGGTACGAAACAACTCACGGACCGGTACCGGGATCGCTGTGCTCATAAAAGGATGGACATGGTCAAGAACAGTTCTCAGTTACTGAACCATGGATAGATCCCTATTTTCATGTTGTTCACGCCAAAGTCTGAGACTACCGTCTGAATTCACAGCAAATATCGAGACTCATCAGAGCAGGAATCGTTTTTCTAATTTTCTGAGGTGCAGAAGAGCAACCGAGGTGCTCTTCTGCATGCTTTGGTTGTAACCAGGAGTTATTTGAGTTACTGTTGCCTTCCTGTCAACTCAAAGCAGTCTGGTCGTTCTCCTTTGACCTCTGGTGTAAACAAAGCATTTTCTCCCAGGGAGCTGCTGGACAGATATTTTCCTTTTCTTTATCAGTCTTTGTGAACCCTGGAGATGCTTATGAGGGAAGATCAGCAGTCTGAAATACTCAGGCCAGCCTGCCTGGTATCAACAAAGTCACCTTAATCACATTTCTTCCCCATGCTGATGCTCAGGTTGAACCTCAGCTGCTCGCCTTGATATGCATCGAGTTGCTGAACTGGTGTACCTAATGAAGTGGCCAGCAAGTGTATTCTGTGCATAAAGGACGGACATAAACAGAGTGATATGTACAAGTTGCCTCATAAACTGCAGGAGTGCGTAAAATATTCGAACTTTACTCAGCAGGCTGGAGCACAGACTTGTGAGGCGTGTGCTTCTTTGAGTGGTCTGTTAACATGGCGTGTGGCGTGCTGTACAGTTAGCCGCACGGCCAGTCGTATTATTTGTAAGAATCGGTTGTTGGCCAGTCAGAGTAGCCACGCCACCAACTTTATCAATTAAAAAAAATCAAACCAGGTGACTTAAGAAAATGTTTCTTCCAGCATGAAGCTGTTATGGACCATGTCTACAGACCATTTCCTGCAGTGAGATGTAAACTGGGCATTTTAACACAGGAGCCTCAAGTGGCCATCAGAGGAACTGCAGGGTTGTTTTAGTACTACTTTGCTCAGTGCTAAGATCTTTGAGCCTCTCAGAATCCTTCAAAAACAGATCTGAGAAACAGAAAGGACTCTTTGCTTGAACCTTTCACTTCATTTTAAGCCAGAAATGTTGGGAACCTTACACGTAGACGCTGCCGGCCTCTGTGTGTGCCTCGTGCTGTCGTCAGATGATGAATGTACCTGTGTGAGGACAAAAAAAAGCTCAGCAAGAGATCAGATGTGCTCTCGGTTCTGAAAGCTGCTCCAGCAGCTGCTTTGTTTCTGCCGTTGTATTTCTGCTCGTCTCTCCGCTGAACCAGATTGCTCACCGCCTTTTGCTCTGACTCACTTTTTCTCCAGGGACATCATCAGCTGACACTTGCTTTCAAATCTATATTTGCTCATTTTTTTTCTTCCTACACCCAGCACTGTCAGTGCTTTTGGCTCACGCTTGCATGCACACGGCTTTTTATTTCCATGGTTGCTGCTCTTCTCTTTTTGGTCTCATCGCGCTCAGCTAGGTGTATTTCTCTAAAAGGAAATACCCCCACAGTCCTCACCTTAATTATATTTATCTGCATGAGAAAGCGTAACATTTATTTTGCAGATTTTTCTGTGTGCGTTTCTTTTTTTGAGCCTAACTAGTAACTTGTGACATACTCTCAAAATAAACACACTCATTTCTACTTAAACAGCAAAGTGTTGTATAAAAATAAGTGACTTAACTTGAGTGCAAAAGGCTCAAAATGTGGCATGTTTCAGGACCCAGCCTTTGTTTTGTGACCTCTAATATTTTCCAGCATAACTCTGCCCGACTTCAACCCAAGCGGGGGCCCGAACTGCCAGAATAATTGGAAACACCTGTGAGACAGTGCAGGACTTTAAAAAAAAGCACAGTGCAGGTTGCTGGGTCCACTCTTGTCAAACATATCTCCGATCGTTTAGCCGTGACTAGTTTATCCCAGTACGTCCAGTAAATCGGCGTGTTGATGTTTAACTACACAAAAACAGAAGGTTTGCTTTGGGTCGATGTGCAAGTTTAACTGTTCGCAATACATGAAAACTGTACGCCCATCAACTGCTCTGTGCCCTTGATTGTATTGAGCAGCTCTTCCAGCAAAGCGAGTTTAATCTGATCAAGCGCTTGCTGACAGAAACGGTCTCTGGGTGGGCGGCCATCTGCCCCCACCGGCTGGGGTGAGAGGAGAGCAGAGAGGCAGGAAACATCCAATGCTAGTACTTATTTTTTGTTTGAGCACCACCAGCTGGTTGTTACAGTAAATACAATAATTATGATAATAATACCGAGAGCAGAACTCCTCCAGTGTTCATCTGTGTTTGTGATGTGAAAGGTCCAATTTTAACTGATATTCCTGGATCCCTTTCGTGCCGATCCACCCATCGCCCGCTAAAAATGATAAAACAACCAACCCGAGCCAATCCTAAAACTTCTCAGGCAGTAATCGTAATAATGCTTACAGTAATGATGACAGCTGGAGTTCCTAACCCAGAAATACTTACAAAATGGGGTCAGGAAGCGAGAGAACTCAAAACCCACTGACATGCAATAGCGAGCGAAAGAGAGAAGTGGGAGTCCCAGTGCATCATGGGAAGTCTTCCAGCAGCCTGAGCCTAAAATAGCACGACTGAGGGATGGTTCAGGTTCACTGGATGCAGCTCTAACTATCAAAACTAAAAGTTTGAAGTTGAGAGGGAGTCATTCTCCAGAGCCCAAACTGGGAGCTGGTTCCTCAGGAGAGGGGCCTGGAAGCTGAAGGCTCAGCCTCAGGCTGGACTGTTGAAAACGAGCGATGCCTGATTTAGACTCGCGCGGGGAACCTTTGTAGCGCCCACAATCTGACCTACGTAAGTGTGTGCTGCATTATGCCTGAGTTACTATATTGTAAATAAAAAAATAAAATAAAGTGCTGGGACTTTTTTTGCGTCCTTGGTCCCTGCTCAATTGTTTTTCACATCCGGACCGATAATTTCAGCCATCTCTCCGGGAATCTGACGACATTTGTGAGTCATACATTGATGCTATGTTGAGGCGATACTGAACTCTGATAGTGAAATGCGCTGCTGGGGCGTTGTGGTATTGTGGTGCCGTTTCCCACGTGGTGCATTATAGCTGAATAGAAAAAAGAGCGCGATCACCTGCTGGAGCCCCAGATGGCAGAGAGAGAAATCTTCCACAGAGTGAGAGAATCAGTGGAGGTGATCACAGAGGCCAGGGAGGGTCTGATATGTTTCAGCTGCCTCTCCAGAAACTCTCAGTTTAAAATGGGCCTGTTGAGGGCAGTCGTCCCTCTTTTACTGTGCAGATCTTTGAGCAGGAAGACCACCGTAACCAAATTCTGCACTGAGCTCACAGAGGCTGCAGCGCAGAATGCAGACTAGCATCACCAGCTCCATTATTTAATAATTAATTTAAAATAGTGTGTGCCTCTTTGAAGATGGTGGGAAACACTGGACTGAAGTGTGGCGTGTCCTCTTGTCCCCTCAGTTATGGAGATGCTCCAGTCGCTGCACTCCCTGCAGCAGGAGAACCAGCGGCTCCAGGACCAGATCCTCAGCCTGACGGCCAAGAAGGAGCGACTGCAGCTGCTCAACACGGAGCTGGCCGTGCCTTTCCCTCCACAGCTTCACTCCACCCAGGGCTCCATGCACACGTCCGCCCAGATCAACTTCCTGTCATCCACCCAAGGTCAGATTAAGCTCCTCTGTCCACTTTCATAAGCGAACTTCAGGGCACATAAATCCCATCGCCTTCTTTTATTTTTTTAAGCTGCATTCCTTCATCCTCCCTTTGCAGCCCCACCCGCTCACGCGGATGATTTATTGATGTTAATTAACCGTAGGAACAGTTTTGATAGTACAGAAAATGGTGTTCAGTGCAAACCTGGTAGTTTTCACCCTGTGATTGTGGCTCTCATTCCTTAGACCCCCTGAGCACCAATAAGAGTCCCCTGCCCAAAAGCTGCTTCCTGAATGACACCTCCTTTGTTACCTCGTCTGAGGTGAGAAACTTTAGTTCCTTTCGTGTCTCAAAATCACCGTGCAATCCCGTCAGGCACCATTAGCAAGTATATTTGTCTTTTTTAAGCCTCTTTGTAGATTTTCTCAATTTTACGGTAAACTCAGTAAAAAGCTGCTCGCTTGCTCTCTTGTGTTTGTTCCAGGAGCTGCACTCCGGTAGTCCGTCCCGAAGCAGCTCGTCTCTTTCCTTCCAGAGCACCCCCCCTCCTCAGCAGAGCCCCGCCTCCTTCGGGCAGCCGCTGCTGAACGGCTTGAATCGAGGGTTGAACGACGGTTTGGGGGCGATCGCTCAGGCCGGCGGCTCCGCACTGCCCGTGGTGGGCGGACTCATGGCGTCTATCGCGGGAAGTCCTCAGCTGACCGTGAACGGCGTGCTCGGCAGTCTGAACGGAGTGATCCAGTCGCCTGTGCAGAACGCTCCTCAGCCCGCGCTCCCGGCCCTGCGACCCCAACCTCCACCCCTCAACCCCCTGGCGCTGGCTCAAGGCTTTCAGCTTCCCAAGAGTGCGAGTCCGTACGTAAAAAATCTGTCTGTAAAAACCACAGAAGAAGAAAACAAGAGCCTCTAAATGAATTAACTAACTTTGGTTGTTTCAGATTTTTTTAGCATTCAGTGATTTCTTTTTCTTTTCTTTTTCTATCCTTTTGAAGCGCAGAATCCCCTCACTCCTATTTTTAAATTTTAGTGTTTCTGCCACCAGCTGGCCACGTTCTTGTCTTCCCCATAGTAGGACGTAGCGGACTGTCATGGACTGCAGCTGTCGGTGGTTCTTCTCCTGCTCTGAGGAGCTGTGGTGAGATGGACGACCACTCCACCCCCAGGTTTGCAGCAGGTGGAGAGGAGCAGGTTCATGTGCCGCCACAGCGAGCGTGACGAGGCTGCAGCAGAACCACCGCCAGCTGAAGTTGATTGGCAGGAAGAAAGACCCACTATATTTGTTTCGTCAGTTATTTATGATCACGTCTTTGCTCCGTCGGAGATTATAAACACTGTTTATTAATAGATTAGCGAGAACATGTGTGCCTGCCCACTGACCCCAAAATCTAAATCTGTGAGAAACATTTAAACTCGGTGGCGCTCTCTGACAGGTGTGCTTCCACATGTCAACATCTGTTTCAGGTCGCCGTTCCTGTCAGAGCAGCAGAAGCAGCTTCTTCTCGAGCAGCAGCAGCTGCAGCAGTTCCTCACCTCGCAGAACTTCACACCTGTAAGGACACTCGCCTCGTCGCTCTGTCGTTCTCTCTGATTTTTACATTTTCTCACAGCTTCTCTGACATTTTTCTCTATCCACATGTTTCTGACTCGTGGTGTGATGATGTCATGAAACAGATAAACAAGCATATCAGCTAAAGCTTGTTTAGCGAGGCGCGTGGCACAGACCCGTGTACCTGATAATTAAATGGCACGTATAAAGAAATGTCAAAGTAAAGCTAGAATTCGTCTGGTGAAAACTGAACCACAGATTTCTTGGATGGTCTGTTTGTACGTATAAGCACATAGTAAGATATATTATTTGCCTGATTATTGCAGCTTCATCCAATTGCATCAATTTGTCAGTCAAAGCAGCCATTCCCCTAAAGATGCAAACTTTATGCTTAAATAAAAACTCGCATGCTGTAAAGTCGGTCATACTTACTTGGGAGTGTAAGCTGAAATCAAGTGGCCATTAGAGGAACTGCAGTTTTTCCGGTGTTTGCTGCTTGGTTCGACTCATTAATAAACACTTTCATTAGCTCACTGAACCATCACAGCGATAAAATCTGTGCTGCAAAAGCTTTTAACCGAGGGCTTAAATTGATTTAGGATCAGAAAAGGAACAGAATATTTTCTCGCTCACGCCTCAGAAACGGAGCAGCTCTCTGATGTTTGGTCGTGACGGGAACACCGAGCAAATCAGGGCTATTTGAATAAGCGCTAACATCAGGGGCAATCTCACGCGTTATTTTTAGACTCATTCAGAAATCCTGTTCAGTAAAAACTAACTTTTTACAAAGAATTTATTACTGTCTGTAACTTAGGAACTTGCTGTAACACATTTTGAAGTTGGGAGATTAATACTGTGGTATTAACCATTAGCAAGACCTCATATAGAGATACTAACCGATTCAATTATGTTAGTTAAGAAAGAGATTGTACCAACAATAATGTTTTGTGTCGAAGTGAACCAGCCGCCCTTATTTGACATGCAAAGTGAGGAAAGCTTGGTGGGGTGCAAACCAGTCAGGCACTGTAAATATAGGAACCAGTGGGTTTCCTGTTTGACTGTAAACTATAAGTACTTTGATATAATAGACTAAAGACAGCGGGGAACTGGATACTTTCACTTTTCTGTTAGACGAGGCGACAGTGAAACAGAACGACTGAACATTTGTTTACAGTTTTTACGTCCAATTTTTAAAAAATAAAATAAAACACGTGCAGTTTGAAAATAAACGTACTTGTGAGAGTTCCCACTCACACACATGAAGTACGGTCAATGTGAACTGCTCCAGGTTTCCCTGAGATAAGGTGTGTTATCAGTTATCAGTCTGTTACTAACGCCAATCCAGTAACAGCAGAGCGAGGCAGTGCACTCGCCTCTGTAGCTGTTTGTCCTTCTGGCAGGAACCCTGTAAAAATCACTCGCTGCCACTCCTGTCCCCGGGTGCTCTCCACTGCTCTTAAGTTAGCTTAGACTACTTGACCCTGAATTCGACAAGCGCAGGTGCATCCTCGCCCAGACACCTGAGCTGGACTCTTCCAGACATGCCTCAGCATTTCACTTCTTCTAAGTGTCGGGGTGCTCTGTTCTGCTATTTTTGATGGAAGCTGCTTTAAAGAACCCAGAGCAGATGAGGGTGCCAGGAAACCTGACAGAGGAGTGCTGCTCAGTTATGGCAGCGTGATTGTTCAAAGTACGATTGTTTTATACAAATATCCCCAAACTTAAACAGAAACTGGCATTTCCTGGAAATCCTTGAATGCAGTTCAAAGGAAAAACACTTGTGAGGCTCTCCTCTACAAGGCCTAAAAGCATGTAACTCAAGGGTGATGAAGGCCAGATGGCTCAAACAGGAAAGGGAGTAACAGCGGAAGTCATTGAGGAGAAGATGCAAAACCCCATCAAAGATCACAAACACGCAGTGGCTCCAGGGGACAGTTTTCATTGTTTTTAACAGTCAGTTTGAACATAGAGACGCTCTTTGTCCACGCTGTCATTCCCAGCAGGAGCTACATGACCGGCAAATACACACAGGTGAACAAGAGTAGCATTGTGTCCAACACTGCCCCCTGGTGACGGTCTGCCGCTTCTGCTCGGCGTTTACAGACTCCCAGCACTGTCAGCCCCCACACAAACCCCCATCAGCGCCTTTTCTCTGCTCGTCCCTTAAAGCCGCTCTCCTCTCATCCTCCTCCAGGAGCAGCAGGCCTTGGTGTGCCAGATGTTGCAGCAGCAGTGTCAGCGGGAGCTGCAGCGCCTCACGCTGACAGGAGCTCTCACCTCCACCCCCAACTCACCCATGATTGCCCAGTCACCCAACCTGCTGTCCTCAGCTACAGCCTCCCCCCTGCAGGGAGGCCAAGGAGGCGGGCTCTTCGGGCTGCAGGAGAACACGCTTCACAAACCCGGAGTGAGTAATACTCGTGATTGTCCTCCTGAAAAACTCCAGGAACCAAGAAACTCAACAGCTCACTTCCAAGAGTTTTTATCAATCATTGACAAGAGAGTAGATAAAAGTTAATGACATGAAGTAGTGCCATATAAACACATGGGCAGAAGAGGAGAAACACTCAGTGCATCGTGGGAAAGTCCTCCAGCAGCCTTAGCGTATTGTAGCATATCTAAGGGAAGGTTCAGGGTCACCTGATGCAGCTCTAACGATCTGCTTTATCAAAAAGGTTCAAGCCTGGTCTTAAAAGTAGACAGGGTGCCTGTCTCCTAAATCCAAACTGGGAGCTGTGTCTGTGTAGGTTCTCAGTCATCCAGGTAATTTACGGAGCAGAACTTGAAGAAGTCCAGTCGCTTTCCTTTTCAAGCTTCATAGGAAACTGGTAGCTGGTTCCTCAGAAGAGTGCCTGAAAGCTGAAGGCTCTACCTCAGATCCTCCTTTTAGAAAGAGCTACACGTAAGCTGCAGTCTGAGGGCAAAGTGCTCTGTTGGGGTGATACGATACCACGAGGTCTTTAAGATAAGATGGAGCCGTTTAGATCCAGCTCTGGAGCTAATGAAGAGAAGCTGAAATCTAAAATGTTCCACCCACCTCGGTAACACGTCCCACAAGTCCTTAAAATCCGCTTCAAATCCATGCGAATATTTTATGTCTTTACAAATATTTGTCCTATTCCTACCCTACATTCACACTCACAAATTTTCTGCATTTATATCAAAGCTCGATTTTTCATATGTGAATAAAAAGATCTGACCAATCAAAGCACTCCATTTAGCAGTGCAGCTCAAAACGTGCACTGGTGCTGTATATACTTTACTACGTGTGGTTAAATAGTACAGTTTAACACACAGCTCCATGCTGCTCCGGTCAGTCGGCTCTCTGAAATCATTTCTCTGCCTCCTCAGACGTGATCCCAACTCGAACTGACCCGCTGACATCATGAAATACATATGAAAGCGGCCGTGATACAGATTCAGCTCCTGGATCAAACCACGAAACCTCATACAGACTTTTCAGTGTGTGAAGGCGCTTACGCAACAAGCTCGCATCTGAAAAACTCTGAATTTCATGTAGCTACGCGCTCGGGGTGTAGTGGCCTCAAGTCCACATTTATTTCGCCCATATCTGGACGTCCTGTTATACTTCAGATGAAGGTGAAGATGTGCTGGAAACCCTCTGCTCTCTGTGTTTTCAGGCTACTGGAGAGAAAGGTGGAGACAAGAATGGCTGATGTTTCTCCACAACACGCGAGCAGCTCCGATGAAAACATCAGGCATGACGTGCCGCCTTGAAGAGGTCAAATTTCCAGGACTTTCTCCTTCTCTGTCGTCTTTATCTTAAGTCCTCTTTTATGAATGTACAACAGGATGGACTTTAATGTCAAGGTGAAGTTTTTCGTGTTTTGAAATTCTTGATATCAGAGGTTCTTCTCATAGGGTTTTTTTTGTGTGTAGGCAGCTTTCAGAGAGCATGAATACAGTGGTCTCTTCTTAAATTGCACTAATTTGTTAGCTAGACCAATGGGGCTGCTGATGAAGGCAGAGTTCATGAACCGAAGGTCTGAGTCTCTCTTCTCTGACCTCCCAAGCACTGACTGTTCATGAATTCCCTCCAGAGTTTCCATTCAGTGCGTCAGCGAGGAAAAAAAGCAAGAAAAAAAAAAAAAGCGGACTTCTGCCACTTCCTGCAACCTCAACTGTCTTCCTCGATATTGTGTCTTCCCTTTGTGTTCACCCCACTCAATTTCATCCAGATCTTCTATATGTGAAGCCTCTCACGGGCACTTATTATGTAAAGGGTCAACATACAATCATTTTTGATGTGTGGTTAGTGGCATTTCGACATTAAGCTAGTTATTACCTCAGACTTTGTATTTTTCATTGTTGACTTTTGTGCAGACTCATTACCACAATAGCCTTCACTGGATATAAAATGCCCACCAAAAAGATATCTTGGTGTTTGCTCTAAGGTATTAACTCATGTAAATGTAAAAATGACACAGCACCTGCGTGTCCAGAAAGCCGCCATCGTCTGCGGGCGAGCGCCGGGTTTTGTTCCAGACCACCACCAGAGTTTCTCAAGACTTTTATATCCTTCTAGTTGCTGTCGAGATTAAGCGGACGAAACCAAACATTTGGAAATTGTAAGTAAGAAATTAATAGTTTTTTCCTAAACAAGTGTGCACTTTGCATGTTAGTAGCTAACAGAGCAAATTAGCCATCAACACAGTACCTTCTAAAGGATGCTCGGTACTTCATAGGTCGCTAGGGACTAACAGGTTTTTGATTTTTCTGAGTATTTTGCACTCCTGTCCTGAAGTGTCGGTCTTTTACTGTCATACATAGATATTCCTTTCATGTCCACCAACTAGCTGTTCTTTTAGCAATACTGGATAGATAATGCCTTAATGATGTTAGATTTACAGAGGAAACCACGAGCCCAAAGGCTCACTCTCTTCTCGTCTTTCTTTGATAACGTGTTTTTTTTTATTGCGGGTACACGGAGGGTCGCGTTGTCCGACGAAAGCACTCTTCCTAAGCCCATTTATATACTTTTGATAGCTGACTGATAATTTCAACAGTGGAAAAACGTGTGAAGCGTATAGTGGTGACTAAAGTGTCAAAGCATTTTCTATTGTGCGTTTTGTGTTGGAATGTTTTTGAGTTGTTTGTGCTTCAGAGACCTGAGAAAAAGGACTTGTAGAGAATCTGCACAGCAGTTTGAACCGCTCGTAATGAAAGTGCTGCAGAAACAGAATCGATGTAGGAAACAGGGAGGCTGCAGGGCGACCGGGGGCAGCTGTGGCATTTTGGGTTTTTTACATTTTCTTTCACAACTCACAAAATAGTTGCATCAAAAACATGACATATGTTGCAGTTTCAATTAAAACTGCACCAGTTTATCGTCTGTGGTGTAGACGAGCAGAAACTAGACGTTTGATATGTTTTTTGAGAAGACTTTTAAAACTTCATCTTCTAGCTTTCATTCCTTCTGTGTCAAAATGATGCTCTAATGTAGCATGACTGAACGATCTGCGTTTCCTCTTTCTGCGCAGCATTAAAATAGACAAAAGGCAACAATTTGGACACGAGCTCGTTAATCCTGCCGGCGTGTCGTCGCCCTAGCTTTCTGATTGGATACATTAGCGTTGGGTGTTACAGGTGTCCCTGGTCTCCCCTAATAAGCTTTTCCTTCCACTTTATGAGGCGACACCTCCGCTTAGCTCAGTTTTACTAACAAAGGCTCGTCACCATTTCACCTTTTTCGCCCTCAAATGAAGGGATTATTTAATTTCCTCCTTCCTTCATTTGTCACTCTGTTTGGAGTCTTGAACATGAACTCCCATACATGTGATATCTATTTTTATTTTATTTTATTTTATGTTGTTAGCAGCTCATGTAGACATCAGAAGCTTCACGCAGCTCAATGGTTGGTGATAAATACTGTAGCAATGACAGAAGGAGAATGTTGACAAAGACATGAGCCAACGTGACTCCTGCTGGGAGGTCTGCAATTTACCAAGTATGACCAGCGCGACCACACGATCGCCTGCAGAGCGGCGCGAGGGATTTCTGAAACAGTTTCTTTCTCATGTTGCACTGGGGCGCTTTGGCCCAATTGTAAAATGTTTTTTTTGTTTGTTTGTTTGTTTTTTTGAGATCCGAGTTGTATACTTTAATATGTTTGTGTAAAAACACATTCATTCTTTTAAGCTTTGAAGTTTGGGTAAAGATAATTCATGTTATGAATGTCGTACTGTGTATCTTTTATGTATTGCAACATTTAAGCACCTGGCTCCGAGTGACGTCTGATGGACGGCAAAGTTAACTATCGGGATATGAATTGCATGAAATGCAGTGATGTCTCTCAAATGTATCGCTAAATACCAAGTAATAGCTATGCATAATTTTAAATGCATTGTTCCCTGAAGAGAAAAAAAAAGGAAATGAAATGAGCACTGAATTTAAAAGGACAAGCACGTTGTCATTGTACAGTGTATTTGTTTGAGAGAATCGATTGAAGCAAATTTGACGATATTCAGATTAAAATCCCTGTAAAGTATTTTGATATTTTTGTGTGTAAAATTAAAAGGACAGATTAAGACAACTTTTTTTTGTCAATAAATGTATTTTACTGAGTTCTTTGACATTTTCTCTTGGATGTCGAGTGATTTAACTGTGGGTGTATTTTACTCACCGTAAAGGAATCGACTTCAGGTAAAGTGAACACATTGACTTTACACCACTATGAGAAATACAGAAAGTGAAGAAAAATGCTTTCTATCTTACGTGCTGTAAAGCTTATGAAAAGTTCACCTTTTTTGGAGGTTTATTAGAAATGAACTGATTTATTCATGTTAAAATGGGAAGACAATTAAAATGACTTTCAAGACGTGCTTTAAAGGATTTTAGGGTTTCTGCGAGCCTCATGTCCTCAGTTCGATGAGTCCTGATGGCAAAATTAGACTAAGCTTGCAGTCAGAAGGGCCCTGCATGAGGATCTAAGGATGTGGGTTTGACTCTTAAGGGGTCAGCAGTCCTGGTATGAAGTTTGGGGTTACACCCAGTTGGCCATTTGATTAATACCAGTGGTAAAATGAGGGCCCAGGTTTATGTGGTGTCATCTGTTGAACCAGTAAGACTCCAAGCTGTTGCTTTCTGAACCAGTCGTGATGTCCAGCATCACTGAGACTCTACCGGACCTCACGGGAAGGTTTGTTTATCGTCGGCGTTGTGAAAGGACACCGAGTCTGTAAAGTTTTACCAGAAAAGCAAACAAGAAATAAAAAGGGATCGGAAATCGAACCTTGCGTGGTTTCATCAGCACCACGTGATTTTAGGCTCCAATTTAATGACGTTTACGTTGTTCAAAAATATTGAATTTTTTTTCACCTCAGGCAACGTTTGGAAAGTAAGTCTGGTGACCTCTGCGTGGCTTTTAAAACTTTTTTATTTTATTTATTTATTACTCTTAGTCTGAAAATGTTTCCCCTTTCATTGGGTCTATGTGAGGATTCATCCTTTATTAATCTCATAATACGTATCATATTTATAGGGAGAACATGCACATACACACCAACATAAGCACTGCATCATCATGATGCTATTATCAGACCGTGAAAACAATTATATAAAGTTATTATGTCATTTTGACATACTGAATAACCTTTTTTATATCTGTTTAATAAGGCAAGCTTTAGACTTCATAAGGGTCATGTAACATAATGGTTTGTGAACGTTAATAAAATATTTACTAATACTGACTTTCTTGCTTTAAGTTGAGGAAAGCCCATCAGGATGTGGGGGGTCACTAAACATGACTGATCCAAGTCTGTGTTAGCTTACTACTTACGTGCTTACTTTTTCTATTTTTTCTGCCCATAGATAAACGAAAATATAAATTATGGTTATATGATTGATGTCCCCCACATTAAAAACACGTTTTTAATGAAAATTATTTAAGTGCAGAAAAAATCCCTGAAATGTATATATTTTAAAAGAACAAAAAACAAATTTACTCTCATTAATGTGGAATCTCGTTTTCACTTGGAAATAAAAAGCTTTTGATGTCATCTTCACATATGTGATTTCTTCACTAGTTTAAGTCATTCATGTGTGTTCTTTTAAAAAAATGCGCTAGTGGACTTCCACGCATTCAGGGTTGATATCTGAGTAATGAAGCAGTCAGTCATTCATTAACGACTGGTGTGTACATTATTATTTATTGCAGCTATGAGCGATATAACGATGGATGCAGCGCGTGGGAGGAAGTTGAGGAGGAGGAGCGGTGAGACAGGGGGCGTGTCCTCATCGCGGGGAGGCTTTTACAGCCCAATCAGCTTGCATTTTCAGCCATATTGTAACTTTTACTGAAGTCGGTTCAAGTTTTGTGAACCAGCTGTGCGCGGATTTCCTCTAAAGGAGCATCGGGAGCTGGAGTACAAGCGGCCCGCAGCAGCATGAACACAGCCCGGTTTGTAGTCGCCATGCGCAGAGGAGGTGCGCAGACCTTCCGACGACCTCAGCTCCTCCTGGCTGCTTATTCTCCCACAGTGAGTCTGCCTGCCGAGTGTTCGTGTTAATTATTGTGTTATCAGCTGTTCGTGTTGCTCTCGTTTAAAGAATGCTGAGTCACGGTGGGACATCCACGGAGCAGACTGCCGACATTTCCCGATTTCTTTCTTCTTTTTTTCTGTGCAAACAAACAACCTGACGCGCCCTCCTTCAGTCACCTTTAGCCCCGATGCTCTGTGAGAGTCAACCTGCAGGTACAGCACGTGAGGGCTTGGTCCCCCTCACGTGCACGCACTGGAGTTATAAAATATCAGGATGGATGCGGAGCAGTCGTTCCCTTCTCGACGTCTTAAAGTTTCAGATCAAACACATTTTAATATTAGTCAAAGATAACGAGAGTAAAAACAAAATGCACTTATTAAATGAGGATTTCTTCCAAACTCACCTGCCCTGTGTAAAGGAGTAACCGCCCCCTAAATTGGCCCACCAATCTTTGCTGAATTGATTTAATTCAGACACTTTTGGGGGTTTCCAGCATGAGATGATTTAGGATAACCTTAATCAGATATATGGCCAGACTTTGACTAGACCACCCAGAGGTGGACCTGCTGGTGTGGTTTTTGGATGGTTGTCCTGCTTCATTCATTCTCCTTCAGGATTTCCTGGTAGAGAGCAGAATTCATGCTTCCAGCAGCCACAGCGAGTCGTCCTGGAACAGCAGAGCATCCCCAGACCTTCACACTTCCACCACCGTGTTTGACTGTTGGTTTGATGTTCTTCTAATGGGGCAATTGTGGCTCGAGTTCGCCTTGTAATCGGAAGGTTGCCGGTTCGAGCCCCGGCTTGGACAGTCTCGGTCGTTGTGTCCTTGGGCAAGACACTTCACCCGTTGCCTACTGGTGGTGGCGCCAGTGTCCGTCAGGTTTCTGTCAGTGCGCCCCAGGGTGGCTGTGGCTACAATGTAGCTGCCATCACCAGTGTGTGAATGTGTGGATGACTGGTTCTGTAAAGCGCTTTGGGGTCCTTAGGGACTAGTAAAGCACTATACAAATACAGGCCATTTACCATTTCTAATGAAATGCTATTTATCCCAGATGTCACAGGACCCAAACCTTCCAAAAAGTTCTGCTTTTATCTCGTCAGTCCGCACAATTTTTTTTCCCAAGACTCTTGTGGGTGGTCGAGATGTTTTTTTCGGTCAGCAGTGGTTTTCTCTGTGGAGCCCTCCTTTTTACATTATTATTCATTTGTTTGAGTTTTTTTATCCAGTGGAACCAAAACAGTGACATCACAGCGATTACAGTGTAATGTTGTGATGTAAGCCAAACAAGTTTAACATACGTTTTTAATTTGTGTTCTCAAAGTAAACCTGAAGGAGTTTGTGTGATTGCGAATGCCTCGGGTCATGTGAGGCAGCACTCCATCACTCTGATTGTTATTCAAACAGCCCTCTGAGAGCCTGGAGTTGTGTTTTGGCTTAGACCACACAGGATGTGTCACTGCAGGATGTTGTGGTATCCATTAGTGTGGACGATAAGTTAAGTTTGTGTCTCACTTTGTGCCCCAGGTTCAGTGCTGTCTGGAGTCGACCCAGGCAGTCCCTGCCGCCCGGCTTCCCTACAGGGTGAAGCTGTCTGCTGGAAAACACTACGCCTGGTGCGCTTGTGGCCACAGCAAGAAGCAGGTGAGGCTCAGGTTTCAGAGACACTTGGGGCTGGAGGGTCATCTGGGGTAAAAGCTAATGCAGCTCATCAATCACGTAAAGTTTCGCCTCATTTACTCCTGTTTACGTTCCCACCCGTCTGAAAGCCACGCTTTAAGAAGCACCGTGCTGGTTGAGACCAACTGGTGCTTGATGAGGTCCCAGTAACATAAAGGAAACTGGATTAACTCTAATCCATCGTCGGTGTCTGGGCTTTGTGCTTTCATTTCAGTGTGTCCAGGAAAAGAAAGAAAAGACCCTCTGGTTTACACGTGATCCTTTCCTTTATGATAAACACCTGACTGATGTTTAAACGGCATGAAAAACCTAACCATGCACAGATGTGATCACTTCGATTTATCTGGGTTGAATTTGGCCCGTCTCTCGGGCACCTCTGGACCCCTCAGTGGAGGACCATGTGACCTCTAACCTCACAGAGAGCAAAAATGTCAACTTTTACTTAAAACTGACCTCAGTTCTGTATCAGGGATCATCACTGGTGATGAAGACTGCTCACCAGCAACAACCAATTTCAGTCCACAGTTTCAAAGTCCTAATGTGTCAGCTGAGGAGCGACAGCAGGAGACCTTTCAGTCTGTCTTATTAGCAGCTTATAGCCGGGTTCATCCACAGTGATTGCTTACTGCCATACGTCTGCGGCACATGCATCCTGTCATTTTTAGGCTAATAAAGGTAAGTTTCAAGTTTGTGTCTTCAACCCGCTTTTTTTCCCTCTTCTTCAGCCTTTCTGCGACGGCACTCACACGAAAAAAGCTCAGAGTATCTCTCCTTTTCGCTTCACCCCCGAGAAAGACAGGACAGTCCTGCTGTGCGCCTGCAAGCAAACCAAAAACGCTCCATACTGCGATGGCTCGCACCTCAAAGTCATCTACCAGGATGTAGTGAAGTATCTGAAAGGCATCTTTAAATGATGTCTTTTTACAGGAAATGATGCATCATAATCATGTTATCCAATAGTTTTATCATGTTAAAAAAATCATATTTTTTTTATATTAAAATCATGTAATGCTGCTTTGTTTGTTTTGGGTAAATCAGATGGAGTTTTTGTTGTTATAAACTGCTTTTGTATGTTAACCTTTCAGACAAGTATATATTCCATTAAAATGCTTTGTGGGAAAACTTTGTGTTAATGTCACAATGACATCACCTGAGGCAGCATTTCCAACACCTCCTGCGTGACTCCAGACCTCCTGAGTCGGCCCCTTAGAGGAGTTTCTACTAAAGTTTTGGTAACCTTTGAAAGTCTAGTGTGTTGGCTTTAAAATGTATTCTTGTATGCACATGATAAAATGTAACGGGTAGGCAGGAGAAGGTTAAACCATGTGCACTGTGTTTTTGTAAATCTGCTTTTGGTGCTGTCCAAATAAAAATTACAAATGTTTTTCTTCTTTTTATGGAGACTTTTTTTCTTGTGTGAAGATCTTTAACTCCACTGAATTACTCATTGAACGGACCAATCACAATAGCTAATTTCATCAGTGCTGTATTCAGTTTATCCAGTGTGGTACTGAGTCACAGTCAGATTACTGCTTTTGTCCAGGGGTGGATCATTTTAGGGTGTCATGGGGTGGCTTGTGCCACCCTAAAATGATCTCTTGCCACCCATAGTGCCACCCTAGTTTTGCATATGACAGTGTTGTTTATTAACAGATAAGATAGCATTAACACTTTGAGCCTGGCTATTCTAAAACTGAATACATTGCATAGTGTCCCCCCCCCACCACCACCACCATTAGCACCATAGCGCAAACAATTTTAAAAATTTAACCATGTAACAATTTGATTTGTCTAACAAAAAACAGTGAAACTTAAGTTAAACTTGTGTGTGTAAATGTGGTGCAGCAATATATTTATAAATATATTTATTTATTATAAAGGTTATACAGTACATAAAATCACGTTTTAAGTAACTGAAATATTTAATCATGTGGGCTACAGAAAATAATTAAGACTATATTTATATGAAACGTGTATACTTACTGCATTTGAATCTGCATATGTGTTGTTTATTTTGGTTTTTTTTTTTTTTTTTTAAGTTTTGATTTTGCCACCCCATTAGATTTCCATGCCACCCTAAGAATATTTTTCTTGGTCCGCCCCTGCTTTTGTCAGATAGAAACAGCATTGTATGTTAAATATAATTTCTGTGTTGTTATTTGAGGTCAAATGCAATAAACTTGGTAAATATGATATTTTGCTTGTTTAGTTTCACATGAAATCTGACACTATGAAATAATTTTGAAAAAGGCAGCTATATTCTATTTATCTGCTTTGGCTTTGAGCTAATCCTCAAAATAAGAAAATAATAATCAGTCAGCCTTGTTTATTCTATCTAAAGCTTTGTTAAATATTTTTTAGCATATCCACTTTGACCTGCACTCTGAAGTGTTTTGTGTGGAAAGTATAATCGTTAATATTTTGCCCTTTGACCCATTTTATTTGAAATATTATTTTTGAAGAGTACCATTATTATGATTTACTCAATAATCTTCAGTTAATCAGTGTATTAGACCAGTTCAGCCAAAGGAAAGTTATCTCATAGTAAACATTAAACATGGGAATATCACACATTTCGTACTAAAACATTATTTTTGGTCACATAGACGCTTCATATACTTTAGAAATTTACACATTTGTCTCACAACACAGGTTGTTTCGAGAGCAAATGATCAGTATTTGTCTAAGATGTGTGTGTGTGCTGATATTGTCCCAAGAGTTTCTACATAAAGCCCTGAGTATAGTTGGAGACGGAGAGCACCTGCGCCCCCTGAAGGCCTTTCTGTGTATGGCACCTTTGTTCAAGTCGTTTGTTAAGGGTTAACCTGTGGAGAGGCTTTTGAAACTGTATTTCAATAAACTATCTTCTGGAATCTGAAGCTGCATCTCTGTAGGAATAGTTTTAAAAAGTTTCGTTTAGAAACAGATTAGTTGCTCTTCCGCTCCAGGTTTTGACACAATTGTGTATTTCGTGTAAAGTTTCTCTACATGATCTGCTGAACTATATTTTGCAAACTATTTATCTGACATTTTCAAATAAAATTTGGGATTATTTTATAATTATTGGTATTATTATTAGTTTAATTTTACATTGTCTAGTTTGCTTTTGACGTGTACTTAAAAAATAAAAGAAAAAAAATAGTAAAAAAAAATGGGACGCAATTTATTAATAGTAGCATGTATTTTTTTAGTCTTTATTTTGTATATAGGTTAAATTGATATTATTGATTGTGTTAGCTTCTTTCTTCTGTCCCTAAAGAAATTTAGTTGTTTGTACGTGTTATTGTCGTATTTCATCTTTTTCTGTGTGTTTCATTGAATCACAGAAGGATTTCATTCAAGAGAGTAAAAAATACATCCTATTCTCTGCTGTTTTTAAAATTTTGTTACATACTTACAGCATAGCTCATATTTTCAAAGCTTGTGACTTATAAATATTGGTAAAATAATGTATAAATCTATACATTATACTTCAATTTTGGTCCTCCATATGTCCAAATCAGTTCCATTCAGTCTGCCTTTCTCCGACATGTGCCCGGTGATTGGTTGAGCTATTAACACGTGACTGTTGAGGACGCTAGCAGCTTCAGTTAGCTGTCTTGCGTCTCCGAGTTTATGTTTTGCTTTTCTGTCTCCGTTTGACTCTCCTTGCTTGCGGTACTTGTCTCCAACGTTTGTCGCGTGATTCTTAAATTGTTGCTGGTCAGCTGGTGTCAGAAGCTGATCTTCCTTCAGCTGTCAGAGGAAACATGAACACGGTGGTGACCAAATTAGAGCCCAAATGGATCAGTTTCACCTTCAGGCACCCTTGGTTAGCCGCTACGGCAGTCTCCAAGGTAATCGCTGCACATGTTAGCCTCTCTAAATGTGATGCAGACTGCTGCTGCACTGTTAACGGGCCATTTGTTTTCACACACATTAAAAAGTAATGCACTGGAGAAACTGTACCACATTTAAGCTAACCAACTCACGCAGAGCCAAGTTTGTATTTTTATTTTCCCCAAACTGGAAATAGAAAACAGATGTTTGACATCGCAGCTCCTCCAGCTGCTTTAATGGAGGTTAGAGGCCTCATTGGTTAGATTTTAATTAGTCTACAGGCATTCTTACACTAACATAGAAATCACGTGGGGAACTGTAGGTTTAATATGAATTTTGAGCAGTATTGTATGTACCCTCAAGGCCTGTAGCCTTCTATGAACTTCAGTAATATCAGTATGAGAGCTTGCTTGTTTATGTAAGTGGAGATTTTATATGTGTGAATGCATAAGTGTACCCAGGAAGGATAGCTGAAGCCAAGGCTGATGAGGAGGAAACAAACTAACACAGAGACAGTGAAAATCAAGCCCCCACCACATTGGATGGTATTCCTAATAAACTGGCTTAATGTATTTTAAAAGAAGTTTGCCTCTTCCTCAGGTCAAGCTGTCCACACGTCCTCCTGAACCAGTCATCCCAGCTAAGAAGCCCTTCAAGGTGGAGCTGGTTGGTGGGAAGCGTTACTCGTGGTGCACCTGTGGGCACAGCAGGAAGCAGGTGAATCCCTACACCAGGGGTGCCCAACTCCAGGTCCTGCCGCTTTTAGATGCATCCTTGTTGCGACACACCTGAATCAAATGAATGGCTTGTTACCAGGCTGTTGCCAAACGTGATAGCATGCTGAAGAGGTAATCCAATAATTTGATCCAGCTTTGTTGGAGTAGGGATGCATCTAAAAGCTACAAGACAGAAGCTCTCACGGACTGGAGTTGGACACCCCTGCCCTACACAATCATTCGCTTTCTTTTGTTGGTCAAATTCAGGGTTCACGCTGGAGCCTATGGCAGCTTCACGGGTGTTTTATTCAGTCATTATCTCAGCATCGTAAACATAAATGTTGCTTTGTTTTTTGTTTAATAAATTAAGAAAAAATAAATTATAACATTTTAAAGAGTAAAGTTTCAGATTATTTTCAGATCTATTGGTTTCATAATTCCAAAACAATCCGATCCATTTATAACGCTGAAAGCTTTTTTCTGTAGCATATAAAAATTTAAAACAGTTTTACACATTACACATTGTTTCTTGTTTAAATGAGCGTTTAATTTTTGATTTCTTTCAGCCTTTCTGTGATGGAAGCCACAAAACCCGAGCCCAGGGCCTCTCCCCGCTACGCTTTGTCCCAGAGAAAGACGCCTCGGTTTGGTTGTGTGGATGCAAACACACAAGCAACCCGCCCTACTGCGACGGCACGCACAAGGAGCACTTCATTGTGTCTGCTCCGCTACATGAACCAGCAGAGTCCTGAGGGTGGAGGGGGGTGCGTTTCCCATCAGTGTTTTCATCAGTTCGACTTTCATGACAAAGACACTGTTGCAGTCACATTAGGATGACTTTACGGTAAAACAGCGAGCAGTTTATACTGGGGGTATTTAGCGAATCGAAGATTCCTGCGGAAACAACCCGGCAGGCGCTCCATGAAGAAGTTGGGATGCAGTGCTATGCTGGCCTTGATTTTGAAGCTCCAGTTTTATGTCCATGAGATGAAATTAGAGTTGGTGGCAGGCTGTGACAGTCATTAGCCCACACTGCTCACTCCACAGAGACAAGTCACTCTCTTCTTTCCACTGAACTTTTGAATGGTGTATGTAAAGTAAAAATAAACAGGGCAGTCTGTACTCTGAGCTGATGTCTTTGTTAAGGTTTTAAATAATAATACAAATGTCATTCTCATGGCTCTAGCTGGGAAATCTGTTTAACAGGACTTTTGCTAAAGCAGCTCTGGCCCCATGTCCTGCCCCTTCAGGATATCAGTTTCTCCAGTTAGAACACATTCCACTGAAGAGGCAAGAACAAGATGAGCCACTTAAGGCTCACAGATCACTGCCATCTGGTCATCCCTCCTAATTTTTCTCTGGTTTTGCATTTTGCTGGGGTCCTTCTGACTACTTGTAGCATGAGACAGTACCTGCACTCAATTCGGGTTGCACAGGTTTTCCAGCTGCTCCATGATAGCACATCTAAACGAGCCATCATGGGGTTTGATGTCTCCAGCACAGTTTCAAGACAATGAAGGAGATACCAGTAAACAGATGCGAGGAGCGATGTAGAAGAGCTTCAACCCAGTAGCAGGACTGGTATCTGCTCACGAGGAGCACTACCAGAGCTTTACAAAGTGACCTACAGCAAGCTGCTCATACACGTTTCTGATCAGACTCCAGGAGAATGGGATCAGGTCCCCAGTCCTGAATTTAACTGAGTACTTCTCAGATGTTATGCATCTGATGCTACCAAATAGCACTGTCCATCCAGGAGCATGCTCAGATATTGTCTCCTGCTACCAATAGTGACAAAGACTCACAAAAGTTGATCCTTCCTACTGGACAGACTGTCGTTCCTAAAGTGTAACTGACCTTGTGTTATACTGAGATGATCGAGTGTTGCTTTCATTTCCACAGCTGTCATCCATCCATCCATCCATTCATCTTCTCCTGTTAACCTCAGGGTTAACACAACGAGACATCACACTCACATTCACACCTGCGGGCAATTTATAATCACCAGTGAGCCTAACCCAGGGGTGGGCAATTCCAGGCCTCGAGGGCCGGTGTCCTGCAGGTTTTAGATCTCACCTTGGGTCAACACATCTGAATCACATGATTAGTTCATTACCAGGCCTCTGGAGAACTTCAGGACATGTTGAGGAGGTAACTTAGCCATTTAAATCAGCTGTGTTGGTTCAAGGACACATCTAAAACCTGCAGGAACACCGGCCCTCGAGGCCTGGAGTTGCCCACCCCTGGCCTAACCCCACGAACTGCTCGTCTCTGGACTGTGGGAGGAAGCCAGAGTACCCACTCAGACACAGAAAGGACCTGCATTCAAAGCAATGATTAAATACAGCAAACAAAACAAACAAAAAACTGTCCTGCCACTTTGCACCATGTTGTGAATTTAATTAGAAGTCGCCCTAAATATTTTGAAAAAAAAAAAAAAAAATTAATGAGCACTGTTACATCTCAGATTATAAAATACAGCTGTAGTTGTTTATAATGCAGCTGTGCCAAACATTTAATTCACACCACGTTAAAATGAAGGAAGGCGGTCTGATTCTTCTCAGGAGGACGATGAGAACGAGTCGGCGGGATGGATGTCAAGCAAACATTTGTTGGGAGCATAAACAGGACACTCGGGTCAGAAAAACCTAGTAAGTAAACATTTTATTGACCTAAAACATGCACATATGGCTGCTTTTTTGTAATTGGAAAAAAACAAAAACAAAGCATCATTGTTGAACGGAAAGAAGAAAAAAAAAATCAAAGGAATGCTTGGAATGCATGGAACTACAACATACATGGCCAAATATTCAAAAATCCCTTTTGAGTTCTTCGACTGCCATGAAGGAAAGAACGCTGACAAACAGCTTGGTAGTGCTTCTGTAAATATTAATGCTTCTCCTGTCGGGAAAATACTTGTCGGTTTGTGTGAAGTGACCGTAACAAAGTGCATCAACAATTTAATGAGCATGTGTTACCTGATGAGCTGTTGCTTATACTGGACACTTATACAGCAGTTATTGACACGTCTGACTGTTTAAAGCAAGAGTTTCTCTTCCTCGTCTTTACATCCAGCTTCAGCAGTGAGCCGCACTGCAATGCCTTTCAGCATTTTGTCTCAAGTTTCACGGAGGCCAAATCGATGCTTATGGAAATGAAACAGACCCACTGCGTGTACAATACAAAACGATTACAATATCTTGTATAAAAGATAAGTTTATACATATGTACGCACACATGCTCACATTTGATACATACTGTACAGTTTGTATGTGTGCACTGTTCTAGTCTAACACACATAAACACGCACGCACACGCACATACATACAAGTGTCTATTTGGCTGCACGTTTCAGTCTGTCCTGCTGGAAGATAACACAAATCTGCCTCCCGCATTTCCAGAAGGACGAAGGCCCGAGCTGTCTTTGCTCTGCACAAAGAAACAAGGAAGCAATTCAAACAGTGTCCTCCTCGCCGCCGTGTGCGCTCGCGTTAGGTCGTGGGAGGCAGGCCGCTTTTGTCGCCCCCCCTCGCCCCCTCTTTGCTGGCCCCGGAGCTCGTGCCGTTGACAGTCACCTTCCGAGCGGCCTGTTTGGAGGAGAGGGCGTGTCGCTGAGCGTTGTTGGTCACAGTGGTACCGTTGGAGCTTTGGATGGCGGGAGAGAGGTTGTGGGACGCCGGGCTGGATTGAGAGGAGGCTCGGGCCGGCTGAGCGGCAGCGGGACTGTGGACTTTGTCGCTCTGAGAGTCGCTCTCCGACGTTGGGCTGGTGTTGACGCCGTCGGAGTGGCCCTGAGCAGCAGACTGGGACGGCCTCCGGCGTTTCCGGGTGGGTTTGACCAGATACTGCAGAGGGATGGGTCCAGTCTGCACGGACGCAGAGAGACAGAGCGAAAATGTGTTTACAGGAGTGTACAGGACCTTAAGAAATCCCTTAAAAACACAGAGTCCATTTTTAAACTAGTCCCACACGTACAATAAACACTAAACCAACAAAAGGGTATTTGTCCTCTGATAGCTAGGAACCCAACAGCTACTCTGCTAATCTGGGCACCACTTTTGTTTAGGACAGGATCAATGACGCAGCAGCTGAAATAAAAGCTGAAATCCTCAAAATACTAACCCAAAAAAAACAAGTGCATCTTTTACTACCTCCATCAGCAGAGGGCTGACTGATCTGATCATTTCAAAGATAAATTCAAAGCAATGCTTCACCCAGCTGCTCACAAAGACAGTCAACACAGATAAATGACTGTTGTATATTCCAGCCTACAATTACAGACTGTATATAAAAGATGTACACAGCTTCTGGATTCAAAGAAAGTGACGTCAATATCTAAAAACGCCTCAGATTGTCATTCTTTCTAACGACCAGCAGGGGGTGATATCTGTAGTTGCAAAAAGATGTTTGCTCCCTCTGGAAACACTTTGCTGAAGACTTTACTGTCTTAAAAATCATCATAAAGTTCACTTTGTAAACGATGGTCCTAGTTGCAGTGAAAAGCAGGATAAACCATGCTAACTGAGATGCAGGTTTCACAGTTAGTAAAGACATAATAGAACAAATCTCTAATTGAAGTCCCTCTTTTGCGATGTTGCAATTTTTAATCTGGATGCCGTTGCTGTGCTCGATGAGGTCATCAAGTGATCATTTCTTTGGTAGAAGACCAAAACGTTTAATGTGCGGGAAAATAAACCCTGAAAGAGAGATTTGGACATCAGATCTTCCCCTCTACTGGGAACGAGGGGGTGAGGGTGTCTGCTCGCTTTGTGACCCCACCTGGGAAACTGGTGGCTTAAGCATTTGATGTGAGCGAGTCTGACACAGTCGCTTGAAGCGTGGAGGGCTGCGATATGTGTTTGAAAACAGCTCAGTCAGATTTCACTGCATCTGATTAAAGTAGTAAACTGTTGCTGTCGCTGGGAAAAGCTTTGCCTCGGGCGTCACTACAGCAGATCATCTCCCTCCATCTCACCTGATCCCGGGCCTCCCCTCTGCATGCCCTCCATCCATGAATCTTTGTGCTCTTACTCTTTCCCTGCTCAAGGAAGCTCCATCTTCAGCATCCTTTGTCCAGCCCTCCTCTGGACGTGTCCAAACCACCTCAGCCTTGCCTCTCTAACTTTCTCTCCAAACCACTCGACCCAAGCCGTTTTAACAACGTCGGCCTGATGAAGCACAGTCATCGTGGCCACACAGTCATCCTGTTTGAGCTTGTTCTTTTAGGAGCGTCTGTTTCCTTCCCAGCAGTTCCTGGTTTTGCTTTACAGTTTATACCAGTTCAGCCTGTAAGGACTTGAAGTTTATTCAGGACAGTAATCCATCACATCAGACTTTAGTCTGCCTTGTTTTTTTAATTTCTCAAAGGATTTACTTGGATTTTTTTGAAATGGGATTATGCGAGGTACTCTTTGGTAGAGTCGGTTATTACAGACAGCAGACGGCCGTCGGCACAGCCCTTTGTTGGGAGATGCAGACTTGTTTAAATTGTAAGATTAATGCATACAATTTAAACTACATTTAAAACATTTCTACAATTTTTCCCTTACAGTCGGGGAAATGAAGCTGGTATAGTCCTCTCCTCAAATCACCAGACACCTTTGGATTCAAGAACTTTAACTTACGGGACAGGGGAGTAAAAGTAGTTAGCGAAAGTAGTGAGTGAGGATTTGTTCAAATCAAAAAGTCCCAGATTAACAAAACAAGTCTGGTGACTTTGAAGTGAGGACAGTGGATACAGCGGCTTCGGTTACCTCTGGGAAATCTTTTTTTCCCCCAATTCTGCTTATTCTCCTCTGGGCAAAAACACCCTGTTAAAGCCACAGGTCAGACGACTGCTGGCAGTTTCTGTTTTTCAGACCATTCTTTGTAAACCCTGGAGATTGCTGGGAGGGGAAATTCTAGAAGATCAGCCGTTTCTACTCAGACCAACCCGCCCGGCACCAACAACCACAACACATCCAAAGTCACTTAAATCACCTTTCCTCCTTATCCTGATTAGGGCTGCCACAAACGATTATTTTGATAGTCGACTAGTCACCGATTATTTTTGCGATTAGTCGACTAATCAGATCATCATCCATTGAATGTAAAACATACAGCTTATTGCACCAGCAGCATCTGCTCTTATATAACTATCATTAGCTTACAGCTTTAAGTTTTTAAGGTATGTGCTAACTAAAAATAAAGACAAGATGAGAGTTTATTAAATTTTAATGACATTTGCAGATTGTTTCGATGGAGTTTAATCTGCTTGACGTTTATTCAGCTGTGTAAAAACTATAACTTTAATCTCAGCCAAACCGATTTAATCAGGAACCAATAAAATACTTAAAAAAAGCCAAACAACAACATTTTTAAGTTATCTAAGTGACTTATATATCATGTTTAACCTGAGTAGCGAAAGACGGCGGTGGGTTTGAAAACTGTTTGCCGGGAGTCCGGTGTTCTCACGGCTCTAGTGAGCCTTGCCCCCGGCTAGCTATCGAGCTAGCGGTGGGTAACAGACGTCTCTGAAAACGTCGGAGCGCTTTTGAAAATATGTGGTGTCTTGATAAACTGAGCAGATATTTGAAGTTTACACAGCTACATTCGCACCTGAAAATATGTTAAACGTTTATTTTGTGACCCAGAAAGAATAATAAGAGTAAAGTTAAAACTAACTAGCTGCCGCCATTGTTGACAACTTAGCTGGGCCGCGCTATGAATTCTGGGACACAGCTTCTTTGGTTCGCTCCTGTTTTTATCATTTGAGAAACATTGCTAAGCTGAGTCCCATTGTATCGCGCTCCGAATTAGAAATTGTCATTCATGCATTTGTTTCATCTCGTCTGGACTACTGTAATTCTTTGTTTACTTGTTTATGTAAAGCCTCTTTGGAGCGTCTGCAAGTTGTTCAGAATGCTGCTGCAAAGCTTCTGACCAAGTCCTCCAAGTTTTCCCATGTCACACCCCTGCTGATTCAGCTGCACTGGCTCCCCGTTAAATTCAGGATCCAGTTTAAGGTTTTGACCTTGACTTTCAGGGCCCTGCATGGACAAGCACCAACGTATATAAGTGAACTTTTGCATCCATACATTCCCAGCAGGTCCCTGAGGTCATGTGACCAGGGCTTGCTTGCTGTCCAGCACACGAGGCTGAAAACAAAAGGCGACAAAGCTTTTGGAACTGTGGCCCCCAGATTGTGGAACTCTCTCCCTTTGAGCCTGAGATCTGTGGACTCAGTGGTCGCTTTTAAAAAACAGCTAAAAACCCATCTTTTTAAACTTGCTTTTAGTTGATTTTTATTTTTAGGTTTTAGCTTCTGTGAAGCACTTTGTGATTTTTATCTTGAAAGGTGCTATATAAATAAAGTTTTACTTTACTTTTACTTACTTACTTCTTCTTCTTCGGGGTTTAATGGCAGCTGGCATCCTTGTACATGCAGTGCTGCCATCTTCTGTTTCAGTCCGTTATTACACTCTTAAATCCTACTACTTATTCCTGCGTCTTTTGGGATCTTACAAAGCTTCAAACGACGTGTCGACTATTAAATTAGTCATCGACGATTTTAATAGTCGACGTAATCGTGACTAGTCGACTAATCGTGGCAGCCCTAATCCTGATACTCGAGTTGTATTTCAGCAGACTGTCTCGACCATGTCTACAAGCCTAAATGCATTTTTTAAATATATATATATTGATTGAATCCAAACAGACCCTTAAAAAAATAAAAAAAATAAATACATTTTGTACTCTCCTCATTTCAAATCAAGCTGCTGATGTTTGTTTCAAAGTCAAAGACATGAAAGGTTTCACTCACTCGTCTCCACTCGTAGAAGTAAGCGATATCCATTAGTGTGTAGTAGTCCTTTAAGGGTTCGTCCCCATACAGCACCTCCACCTGTAACACACCGTGAAACCCATTTAACACGTTAGCGGGGGAAAACGTCCTCTGCCAGGCGAGCTGTTTGAAGTTTGTACCGACATAAACGACCACGGCGAAAGGTTTGTTTCCCTGCGTACAAATAAGATAATTCTGGATTTAAACAGACTCCAAGCTTTACGTGAATCTGTGTCTAGGCCAGTTTATGCTCCTGACGGTTTACTTCACCCGTGTTTCTGAAAACAAAGAGGTTGAGGCGCAGCTTTGTTTTTTCCACGTCGCTCTACAGTTTTAATCACGTACCGTTTCATACAAATAGGATTAAGTTGCACATATTTGACTTGTGTGTGAAATCCTTCAGCCTGGCTCATCTTCCTCTTCAAGCAGAAATCAAAGCAGCTTTTTGTGGAGAAAATGTGTTTTTAAAAATGTCTTTCAAGCCGCCTGACTTTATTATCAAGTGGCACATACCTGGAATACTAAACCCACACGAGTGAGGAACAACTCCTCCACACCTATAAAGCAGGGCTCTGAATAGCCAGATATACTGTGCTAATCTGAGCTAAGGGATCTACATACATGTAGACCACCCCGAAAAAAAGGTGAATCGTGTGAAGCTGGGTTGTAATTCGCTTGTGGGTTTCCTTTGACTTCATTTGATCTACTGCTTCCATAAAAAAATGAAAGCAGCATTAATAATTTTGCAGTTTTCGGAGCAGTGTCACTTCAGGTAAGCGTCTGCTCGTTATCACGTTGCACCGAAAGCTCACATATCAGCGCGATGATTGCCAGAACTCTTTTATAGCCCACAAATGCAACCCAATATGACCTCGCCGTTGTAGCAGCTACTGTGGAACAACAAAGCGTTTATATTTTTGCACCTCAGCCTTGAAGTTGTCTGCAGAATCGATACTGCAAACGTTACTGTGCGGGGCTGCGGTGTGTCCAATTACCCGATAGTTGTTGGGTATATCCATCTTGCTGCGGAGGAACTTCGCTAAGTGCATGACGGACATGGCTGCCGGGCACTGCAGGAAGCGTTTACCGTTGGACTGAGAACAAAGAGAAGAGCAGAGAGGGATGCATTAATCCAGGATGAGGACCAGAAAACCATAATTACACCGGCTAACTTCAGCTGCCGCTTTTAAACATCTTTGCTTTACCTTGTCTCCTTCCATCTCTGAATGCTGCCTCTCATTATTTCTGCAGGGGGAAATTAAAAAGCAGTTAAACAATAATTAAATTTCTTTACATTTTAATGATATTTACGAGTTTTTCGCAGGAATCAGACTGCAGCTGGTGGAACAAAAACAAAACTCCACGTAGAGCTGCAGATAAATTGTGCCTGGACAAATCTGGGACCCGGCTGGAAGCTGCTTCTGTTCGCTTCATGATCAAAAGCTTCCAGTTACAAACACATTGAAGCGAGAAGAAAAAAACTGTTCTGATAATATTGTTATTTTAATATTAACTAACAGCTGTGGGATTCATATAAATACTGTATAGTATTTTAAAGTATTTTATGGACTTCTACATAACTGTTTGCATTGTGCTGTTCACTCAACTCATTTTATTTCTGATTTTAACAACGTTATTCACAGATAAAGTCATATTTTGTGGTAGATTGTGTTTTATGTAGAGGTGAAATGACTACTTGTTGTTTTAAAAGTCTTGTCAAATCAGGTTCTGCATGCCTACGTGTGGTTTTCCTTCTTTTTACGCTCTCAGCAATGGAGAGTCTTCAGCTGACTGCGCTGATGGGAGCGAGGCCTGCAACCCTGGAGGAGCTGCAGAGCAGGGCACAGGATTTCAGAGCTAAAGCTAAATGGAAATCTTAGATGAGGAAATATAAACCATTTCATCCAGCTGTCATCGTGGAGAACATGCGGTGTTTGGACAAAAAGAACCACTCGGTTGCAGTGAAACGTAGCTGAGCCTGCACTGATCTGACCGTACCTGGTTTTGGGACTTCTGGGCAAACAGATATTAATTTGAGCAGTAAGCAGGAATGTGGAGGGAATGTCCAGTTTGTGAAGGAAGAGCGGTGGAAGTCTGGTCTGGCTGCTTGTGTGGCCTGAATATTGAACTCGCAGCTGTCTGACTGAGTCCATATGAGCTGCTGGGGGAATTTTCCTCCTTCATTGGTGAATGATTTCAGTTTGAATCAGCACACTGTTTGGATTCAGCTGAACAGAGCTCATCCAAATGTCTGTGCATACCCATAGATGACAAATGACCTGAGACGCCCTCTGCACCACTCACAGGCTTTTCTCATTTATCTCATTAAAGGAAGATTTTACTTACTAAGCTAGCCATTATACATGAATTATAATATTTAATAAGTGATATATATCTGTATCTATCTCTCTATCTAGATATCTATAGATAGATTTTTTATTTTAAATCTACGTTTTTATTGAGCCAAGTTGTTTTTCCACTTCTGGCTGCTGTAACAAAAATAATTGACAAAATTTGAGGATGAAGTAAATCTTCTCCATCTATACATGCACATAAATAGCTAAATAAGAGCAAATATAACAGAGGACACACGCAGGCGAACTCGCTGTTCTCTCAGCAGTAGCTTTTAGTGCGACAGACCACAGATTAACGGTTCTCGCTCTTATTCTCGAGTAAAATAAAAATAAGGAGGAAATGACTGACTCACTTGTTCCTCTCGTAGAACTGTATGGACAGACTGATAATTTCATCCTCTGCTATGTTGAACGTCTCCACCACTTCCCCCGGTTCCAGCACACGATTCTCTGCGTAGAAGTCCCGCCTCCGTTTCATCTCATCTGCGGGAAAGCCACGCGCATCGTGAAACTGAAATCTATGACAAAGATATGACTAAGCCTTCGCTGCCTCCCAAAACTGTGGTCATTACCTTTGAATAACCCCGGAACGAGCTTATAAACAATGTCTTGCAGAGTTTTGTCTGCTCTGGAATGAAAAACAGAAAAGAAAAACATTCGTGTCAGATATGAAACATCATGAATTTGGAGAGGTTAGGAAAAAAAACTGACATGAAGCAGACTGGATTACCTGATGCTGAGCTGTGGACACGTCTTGTGGACCTGGACGTCACATCGAGGACAGAACTTATTTGTCTCGAGGAAGGCAACGATGCATGTTTTACAAACTACATGTGGAGAGAGAACAAGCTGTTAGAGGACGAGCAGCAGAAAGACCAGAACACTCTCCTCCTTTACCCTCAGGATGAAGACTCTGTGCAAAGCATACAGTTTTAGTAATGTCGCTTCTTTTATGCGTTTGTCTATTTTAAAGGGTTTTTTGTGTCATTAGAGGCCTCTTTAACAGCTAAGGCTCAGGAGATTGAACAGGCCCCATGGGTCTGTGGTTCAATCCCCGACTCCTTCAGTCTGCACACAGAAGTGTCCTTTGGGAAGATCCTGAACCAAATTCAGTGAGTGCTCGAGTGAAAAAGCACTTACATAGAGCTGTGTGTTTGTGTGTGTTTGGTGTCCACAGCACCCAAAATTAACCCAACATCTCCACAGGTGTATGTGCGCGATAAAGTAAATAAAAGATCTCGCCACTCGACAGCCATCTGGAAGCATAATATGAATTCAATTTACTTTAAAATGTAATGTGCACGTTCAACAGGACATCTGATTTTGAAAATATGCTTAAATGTTTGCAGACTTTGCCCTAAAATTCATTAACAAAGGAAAATTCCCTGCGTTGATGCAGTCCAGCCTCTGTTTCCGTGACCTCAGTGTGACGAGGTCAAGCAGAAGTGCGAAGGACTCAGGCACAGAAGCTGGATGCTCAGAGAATCCATCTGCGCTCACACCGGACTGCTAACCAGCCTGATGGAGGATGTCTGCTGCTACAAAACACACATCACACTACCCCCTGTTTTCTCACCACGCTGCCTCATGCAGGTCATCTAAAGCAGAGCCACCAGTGAAAAATATCTCTTCATTATAAAAAAACAGAACATAAAACCTATAAAATAAAACACATTTCAGAGTAATCTTTCTTTTCCTCATCTTTGTCTAAATCACTCCATCCATCACTTCCTCCAGCGAGCCAAAAGACAAAAAGAAAAGATTTCATGATAATTAGAAAGGCTGCGATACGACAACAGGCATTCAAGCTTAATTATCCAGAACCTTAAACACACTTTGACATCTTTAATAAAAACTTCCAAACTAGTTTGACAGAGCTCATATAAAGACATGTACTTCATGTGAGGCAACACCTCAACCAAGATTAGCACCAGTTGATAAAGCCAGGAACTGGGAAACAAACGTATAAACTTATAGATGCTCTGCAGCACCTGTCAGTCACGCCGACTGTTTGTTGGATGGTGCCTCATCTATGAACTGTGAACACCTCCCCTTTCATAAAGGATGGTCCGGTGTGTCCTCTGCTAAAGGAGGTAACAAAGGACGCATTGAAGCACCTTTCCTTACTATCTGGAGAATTCAAGAGAGGTCTTATTAAAGCTGCTAAGCTGACATTCCTGGGTCACTTCCAGGATTTGGGACACTTCCTGATGAGACTAAAGGACTGGGTAAATAAATAACAATAATTTATGATGATTATTGTTTTTATGCTTGTGCTGTTTTCTGCATAGCAACAGGCTGACGCTCTATACCAGGACACGCTTCCCTGGTGCCGATGGCGTTCTCTTTATTCATTTACTCAGTGATAAGGAGTCAACACAGGTTCTTGACTGCTTTTGATGCCATACAATGAAACGAGACATTTCTGCTTCATAGTTTAACTCTTTGACTCTACTACAGCAGCTTTGCATGAACCACAATTCATAATAATCCCTATCTACCTATTCTGAGCCTTCATGCATCCCCTCAGTTCTTCCTCTGTCTGAAACAAGCCGGTTTGCCTTCCAGCCATCTTTCTTTTGATTGGCTACTCTTGCACAGGTGGGTGGGAACCGTGCGCTTGCGCTTGCAGTCGGCTTTTCTTTGGTTTTTGTTTTAACGCTGGTTCTCGTGTCTGTGACAATAGAAATAAGGACAATGATCAAGAGTTTCTTTTATGGGTTTTGATTGCAGTAAAATACCTTCCTGTAAATTTTAGTGACATCACAGCACCATGAGCAGCTTTATGGCATCTGCCATTTTGATTTCAGGCACGAAGCGAGCAGCAGCCTCCTGATAGCGTCTCCATCAACCACCACAAGCAGCTCCTTCTTATCCACACACGGAAACCTCTTAATTACTTTTTTTAATGTCTGATTTAATTTTTGCTTATAAACAAACAGCATCCAGAGAACATGAGCCTGGACTGAATATCTAGTATGACGAGAGTGTTTTTAAAGGCAAAATTAAATGAAAAGGGGCAGTCATTGAAATTCATTTACACAACTGATACCACGTTTACAAAAACAAAGAAAATGATGGCTTTACAAAAGCAAAATAAGTCCCAGAGGAGGCCAGCCCTCTGTCTCAAACCGGCCTCAAACATACGGAAAGAAAACCTAAACCAGGCCTAGTCTATTACTCAGATGGTGAATATAAATAAAAAGGAAACACTGATTCAGCTTTTCAGTGGATTATTTTATGTCGTGGTACTCGAGACGGTCACAGAGCGACCAACCTGTCAGAAAGTTGTGGGACTCATTCTTATCCTTATGTCTACCAAAGTGGTGGAGTTTAGCAAATGTGGCGCACAGTGCTTCAGCTCTGCGTAGTCCTTTGTATCATTTAAGTAAGTACGGCTCTCTGAATGAAACCGGCTTCCCACCCGTGTTCTCGAAGCAGGTGTAAGAACCTATTTTAGCCATTTAGCTCCATTTGCTCTTATTCATTGAGGCTACCTGCAGCAATTTTCAGAACAGCAGCATTAATAAGGAGTTGATGGCTCTCCGTAGATTAGCTCTGATGGGTTCCTGAAACCCATATTAGGGATATCCCCTCTCTGTGACATCACACAGATCCAAGATTAGAAAGGTCTGTCAGTGTGAAGCCTGGCGTTTTGGCTCACAGGGATTCCTTGACCGTCAGTTGAAACTTTGCCCACGTTTAACATGAACATCCAGCACAAGCAGTTTCAACACAACCCAGAAGATGCAGTCATGTGCTGCTGTGCAAGTGTGGTCCCTGAAGTGGACCTCCTACAGGCCTAATTGAGGTGGAGTGTGTGACTCAACATCACGCCTGTTCACCTCCCTTCAACATCATCATGAGCAGAGGTCTGATGGAAACGGTGTGCATGCATGTAAGGTGGTGCATTCATGTGAGGAACTTACAGGAGTGCAGGCACTCTACGATGGTCGTAGCATCAATCAGGTAGCCGGCGCACAGAGGGCATGTGAGGTGTGGGTTCAGATCTGTGATTTTGATCCGGTTAGGCTGCATTTTATCCATCTGGGCTGATCTGCAGAAGAAGCAGAGAACGTGAGGGGGTTTTTATGAGCGCTTACTGCTGGAGACTGCAGGTCATCCCCCACATTGTGCCCGGATCTCCTCACACATTGTCTGCACCGCGTCAGCGGCTCGCGAAACCACAACAAACGGAGCCGACGAAAGCCCACAAATCCCGGTGCTGGGTTCAGGGACGAGCCGGGAGCAGGAGCCGAGCAGCTCAGCGCAGACTGTGAGGGGCACACGGCAGGCAGCGGGCTATTCGATCGCCCCTGTGTGGCCTCATCTCGTGCACCAGCTCATCTCCTCCAGCCCAACAAAGAGCGTTTCCCCTCCCCGCGGAGCTCCGCCGTCCGAGCCCGCACCTCAACCCAGCACCGCGGGCGAAAGCGGCGGCTCGGAGGGGGGCACCGAGCCGCAGAAAAGCACACTGGTACACAAAGCAGCCATCTTAAATCCACTGACAGGGCTGCTGTACCAGGAGGCGAACAAGGGAGACTCGAATGTGACACCGTGCGCCTCGCGTTGCGCCTCCGCAAACTGAGCCGCGATGAGCGCGATAAACAAAAGCGATCCGCGACGCGCGGTCCTACCTGGTCTCTCCTCCGAGGGTCCGCGTCCTCGCGGCGCAGGGCGGCTCAGTTATTTGGGACTTGGACAGAATTTGCAGCAGCGCCAGAAAATGGCTTTTTTCAGCACCGTCAGAGGACTGCCCATTTTGGATCACGTGACTTTATTTTGTCGCCTCGTTCACGGGGCGAAGAGGGTGTCCAGACTCAGAGTCCGCAGGCCCCGCGCACTTTGTCCACGGTGTTTGTCCCGCACACGCCGAGCCCCGCACTTCTTGTTCTGATTTTCCACCTTGTGATTAATTTGTGTCAGTCAGCGGCTGCTCGGCCCGCCCGGCCCCGCCCCGCCCTCCGCTGCTCTGACTGAGTTTCTGTGGATGACCGAGGGAGAGAGGCCCTACAGGCCTCGTGTCCCCGGGCCCGAGACCCACGGATGGCCCACCAGCTCCGGGAGATGTTATTAGAACTGAGAGGGTTTTTTTCCGTTTTCATTTTAATTATTTTATAAGAAACAAGTAAATATACTGAACAAATGCCATTTTTAGACACAATTAATAACTGTTTTACAAAGAGGACATAGATTTCCACCTGAAAAACAAATACTCAAAAGATTTCAACAAATTTAACAACATAAAATAACAAATTTCCCACGTGTGGGACTAGTAAAGGTTTATCTTATCTTAACAGATTTCAGGGCAGATTAGTTGACATGCAGTAATTTCTAACTAATTTCTGAAATTAGAAATATCCCCCAGGTAGAGCTGAGATAACAGCACATGTTTAAAGACATGAAATAAACTCTGGGGGGGGGGAGGTTATGAGAAAAGTTACTTCTGACTTTAAGAAAGTACGGTCTCATTCACTACATCACAAAGGAAGAGGAAAATTCACTGGTCCCACATTTACCTTGAAGCACAAAGTGTAAAAATCGAAAGGAAAAAAATCAGAGTTCTTTGATGCTGGGTTTGGACCTCCTGAATGTTTCTGAGTGAATCAAAGGAGAGCATCGTTTTTATTTTGTGTTGAATAAAGTGACTCCACAGCAGCTCCGCAGGATCTGTTCATCCTGCTTCACCCTTTTTGCTTTTTATAGTGAAATGCACCTTTGCACCCATAGGTGTAGATCCATCTCCCAGGAAACTGTGATTGCCAGACACTTGATTTTATTAATTATTGCATATTTTCCGCATTGACATGAAAGCGTCTTTATCCACGCATGAAAAAAGTCTTTGTCTCTTCGGTAATTCCTCTGCGTCGTTCACAGGGGAGAGGAGCTGTAGATTCATGTGCTTCATGCGTCTAAATGCTGAGACAACACCCCCACCGCCCAAAATCTACACCTGCGAATCAACCAAAGCTGAAAAAACAGGATAAAGAAATAATACGCTGTGATTTGGACCAAGTTTCAAAAACTACAACCCCCATAATGCACCTCAGTGGCTACCATCTGTTCTTTAGACGCTTTTAAAGGCCATCGTGTCCTCTGGGAAGCAGGTTGTCAGGGCATGAACCCCCCACCCTCCCCCAGCTCCCGCCCCCGTCTCCGCTGAGAATAATTAAATAGCCATGTGTGGACGCCCTCAGTGCGGACAGCGGTCACGTAAGGTAGAAATGTAACAGCAGGATAAACTGAGTCTGAGTACTACAAATAAAACGGAAATTTTGAGCACCAATTAATTTCCCCTAATACGTCATCAATGTAAGATGGACACGTCATTTGTGTAAAGAAAACAAAACAAAACCAACTATGGCAGCAGAGAGTGAATTCAACCTTTACCAGCACTTCCCATCAGTCTCCTGCTTCAGTCGTGTTTTTAACTGAAGCTGCCATCTGTTCTCCAGTGTCCTCCCGCCTGGTGCAGACACGCTCAGGGCAGAGCATCTACAAATTTCCGGCTGAACCTCTGACTTATTCTGTAAGCATTTCAAACAAATCACTGAAATCAAAGATATTTTAGGGAATTACATTTCTTTGATGGAAAGTACGAACATATTGAGTCTTGATACGTTCGTGGACATGTATCAATCATTTTAAATGTAAAACTGCACCAGCCTGACTTAATATTCTAATTTTAAGGATCTCGGAGATCTTTGCAACCCACTGAAGTCTCAGTTTAATAAACGTTGGGATTTTTTGTGTTGCCCGGTTACAAAATGTTTCAAGTTAGGTCAGTTTGATAATTTCTAACACTCACAGTCTCTAGGGTGAATTTTCAATAGCGTTGCATGGGATATGTCGTAGTTTTCTCTATTTCCTGTCCTGTATTTACTCTTAATGTAGAAAGAAACATAAAGCAAGTTTCAAATCATGTGGTCAAATTTCCAAATTTCCCCCTTTGGGACAATTAAAGGATTATTCTATTCTATCCTAGTCAGTGTGGCTCTGTTTGATGTCACTGAGACCAGATCTCTCTAAGTACAGGATTATACAGCTGCAGAAATGGAGAGCTTCCTGTTTTACTTTTTGAATTTCTCTTTAGAGTCAGTCTGAAGGCTACATGCGTAGTGGCTGTATTTTAGTGTAATGGCTTGTAGAGTCCACACAATCACAGGAAAATTAGCAGTGAAAATTAACATCAACCAGATACATGTGAACACCAGACACAGCTAAGTCCTATCCACCTGCTGTTCAAACCTTTTGCTTATGAGGGGAAGCCAATCAAAAGAAAGTTGGCCAAAATGGGGAGGAGCTAAAAAAAACACATTTTTTTCAAACAGAGGATGAACTGAGGGTTGCTCCAAGAGTCAATGATCTGGAAATTATGTAAAGTTACTCTAGGACCAAAAGTAAAAAATATGAAGCTGGAAATGAGCAGAATGACTCCACTGTTTATATCTAAGGGCCGCCTCCCCTCCCTTAGAAACATGTTTCTGGTGGAACAGCGTTTATGCTTCCTGCCATAAAATTTTCCTGGGTGAGCCTTTCATGTGGGGGGTCACACCACACTGACGCATTATCGATTGTGTGCCGGTAATACGATGACCCTGAGGTGTAAACAATTTCAGAAAGCATTGCAACAGAAATGAAAACAAAGCAGCTGAAACACAATAGGACACAAAGTTGTTCCTGCCTTGTTCATAACGCAGTCTACATCGTTGTTGTGTTTCCATTTTTAAAAAACCTTTTCTGTCCATTTCATTTAAACAAACCCTAATATGCACACTAAATGATATTTCTTGTGCTAAAGTACCAGAATATACAATATACAAAAGCACATGTCATTACATCTTATACTAACTTAACAAGCAAACAAAACAGGATAAAGTGTGAGGGTTGGCGACACACTTGGCCTGTACAATAAGTACAAATGAAAATCAAATAAGATTTCAAAATCCATGATAATCTGTTTTAAGCAGGAATAAATAACAAGTTAATGTTTCAGTTCATTGTAGGGTGTCTCCCTCTCTCTTGTGCTCACGTTTATTAGAATTACTACCAACATCGGACATTCTTGTCCCCCCCCCAAAAAAAGGTGGAGCTCCCAGGCGAGAAGAAGACCTCGGAGAAGGTGCATGGATGTAGCAAAGGAGGACATGCAGAGGGGATGCTTAGGATAACATGCCCTCTATGACAGGGTGAGGTGGAGGGAGATGATCTGCTGTGGTGACCATGAAAGGAAGCAGCCAAAAGAAGACGAAAAAGAAATAGAAACTATAAATTAAATGGATATTGTGAAGCTGGGTGTAAATTTAAATGCACAAGTTCGTGCTGCATGCAGGTCTGCGTTTTGGAGTCTCCTTTCATTACTCCGGCCAAGCAGGAGTGGCTACAGAACACCTCAGTGTTGTTTGACAGCCATCAAAGAAAACGAAGAAAATTCTGGAGTCTACATGAACTTTTTTTTTTTTTTTTTAAATGGGGCACGTCAGAAGAAAAAAAAGGGAGAACCACTGCTCGAGCAGCAAACCCTGAGCGGTACACTGTGGGAATCCCTGCAATTCCCCCGCTGGCCTGCTGGGGCCGCTGTTGACTGTGAAGTGCAGCACGGACGCCATCTTGAGGAGACCCCGATCTCAGCGCTGGGCTGGTGACAACACGCTCATCATGACGGGATTACTCACTTCCAAGTAAAACGGCATCAGTGTTGGGTTGCAGGCGTTGAGCGGAGAGAAGAGGATCTGCCTCGGCGACGGTTCTCCGCTGCAGGCTGTTTTTAGAGCGAGGCCGCGCTGTAACCCGATGGCCGGCTAGCTGCTGTGTGGATACGCCGCGGCCTGCTCGGGAGGAGGAAGGGTGGTGACGGCGCAAAATGCTTCACCGCTGACTCCCAAACAGACAGTCATCCTGCCCAGAGACTCGCTGCGAGTTGGTCAACGAGCACGATGCACTTATAGATTTCTTCGAAAAGGAAAAACGCTCTGTACTTTCAGATTTAGTTTTTATTTATCGCTGTGTGAACGACCCGGACCGCCGTCTTGCGTACCCTGAATCCCCAGCCGGAGACATGTCATCCAACTGCACCAGCGCAGCGCCCATCAGCGCCAGCAAAACCAAGACGAAAAAGAAGCATTTTATAGGACAGAAAGTGAAATTATTCCGCGCCAGTGAGCCCATACTCAGCGTTTTAATGTGGGGTGTCAACCATACGGTAAATACCTGTGCAGTCTGCCCGTGTGCTGTTTGTTTACGCCGCTGTTTTGATTTAGCTAGCATGCTAGCTTGTTAGCCAGCTACCTTCATCTGTCAAGCCAGTTTTGATGCCCTGTAATTGATCTTTTTCATGCGTGGACTCAGCCAAGTATATGACACTGTACTTGGGCTGTAATCCAGCCGTTTTCGTGCAGTTAATAGCGGACTGCTGCCGCCGCTGCCTCCGCGGGTGGCTGTGGCTGAAGCGCGAGTTTTGCGGGGATTTTATTTGGTTAACTTTTGAGAAAATGTGCATATTTGTGATACGTTTTGCGTTTGTATGTGTGTGTAAGAGAGAGAGGGATCATTCAGTGAGCTGCCATCGTAAAATGTGTTCGGTATCTTGTTGCTGTATCGTGAGCTGTTGCTGTAAGTGCGTGCAGGCGTGGGGTGGGAGGGGTGTGACAGGCAGCCGGAGCAGCAGGTTACACAGATTTTCAGCTGCACACAGCTGCTCACAGCAGCCTGCCTATTGTTCAAATAAACCTGCTCTTGAGACTTGCGTTTGCAGCTACCGCACTCCGCGCCTGCGTCCAGTTCGCTGCAGTTTACTCCATCGCATCATTTCACTATAAATAGAGCAGAAAATCTATCGCATTCGCTTTTGGACGAGGCTGCCTATGCCTATGAAAAGCTCAGTGAAGGGGCAGATTGGACACCAGTGATGGATGGATGGAGTGGGCTATGCACCAGCAGTTTAGTTCTGCCTGCTGTGAAGGGGCGGTTGCACTCTTGCTTGATTGATGCGCGGAAAAACAACCCCCTGAGGTGTGACACAGAAGTTTTTTGAAAAATATTGTGCCGACTTGGGGAACTCCTGGTGCTGAAATGTTGCTTGTTTGACACACAAAGCTGTCATTTCTTCCCGGGGTCCTGTTAATTTGTGCTCCAGTCATACTTGATTGAATTCTTCATTATTAGACTAACAAAACACAAAGTCTAACAGGTAGTAACAGAAGGGTTAGGATCCCTGGGACATGTTGGCGATCCGGACAGGGAGACTGAATATCCCACTTCATGCTATTTACATGAAGTGCCTGTGCCTGCCTGGAA